ACGGAACAGTACAGAAAGGAGCAGAACAAACTAGATCAAACACGCGACGACGACAGGCAAACAAATAAACAAAAATAAACGATAAAAAGATAAAACGATAAAACGATGAAGCGCGAAATGTTTTTAACTTTAATTAGAAAGTGTTTTATGTATTATGTATTATGTATGGTAGTCCACACAGGAGATCCTACTATTAACTTCTAAGCCATTTAACTTGTAAATTATTATGGTTATAAATGTGTAATGTAAATGGAAGCGAATCGAGTAGAACGGAGAGTAAGGGCGGCAAAGGCGAATGCGAATGCGAATGCCAAGCGAATGCCAATGAGGATGCGGGTGATGTGGTGATGCCAAGTAGCATAGTATCGTAACTACATACAACAAAAGCCGCGTATAAGTACAGAACTACCATGAAATATATATGTATGTATGTATATTGTGTGGATATAAATTATACCAACATCTGGAGCTTGCCGAAAAGTCTAAAAATTTGTAAAGACTTGGAGAATATACACGAGTACTCGTATATACATATACGTATTTCAAACTAAAGAAACAAAAAGTCGTAGCTGTATTCAAGTTTGAACATGAGAAAAACCCACAACCAAAACCAAATGAAGGCAGATTCGCAAAAAAACAATACAATTATTAATATTACAATTGAATTTGAATTATTGAATATGAACTTGCGGCAGACAACAAAATGTATTACAAAACGAACAAAAATCTATATATATATACACACAAAAATAATTTATGAGATTATATATACATATATATATAAATAAATAACAATAAAAACATACATATAACATGAACGTAATATGTAAAATTAAATAAAAACGAAGCCTCAGTCAGTATAAAATGTCGAATGCATCATTTAATGCGGATTATCTGGGCAGGCACGTGGATATTGGGGCTAACGATGTTATATCCATCAGGTAATCTGTATATACGTGTCGGATCATTTATTTTACAGTCTATGATCCCTACGGTGGAACACAACCCTGAGGGAGGTGCATCCATTGAAGCTACCCAAATGCCACTATCAGCTGCACCGGCGGATCGATTAAATTGTGCCAAAGGAAAGTTTCTAAATATATGAGAGACTACCACAGATCACCATAAGATCAGTTGTATAGAAAGCTATCCTTTTGTTGTACCGACTCACTGTGCCCAATTGGTGTCCTCGTCGGCTGTCGGCTAAAGGAAACTCGAGGATGTTGCGTCGTTTCTGCTTTTGGTTTTTTGGTAAATAAACAAGTGTCATAAATTTTAATTAACGTTAGCCGAAAACTAATTTCCATCTAATAACAATGCGAACATCGGGCCGGGACGGGCCGGGCCGGGCCGGGTCGATTCGGTTCTGGCCAGTGGTTTGTTGGCAGTGTTTCGGGACAAGGGGACTGAGGACTGGGGACTGGGGTCTGGGGTCCCGAGTCAACCGACATAACTCAGGCGGCAGTTTGATGGGCGCCACAGCCCCATTGCACCCAGGAGTATAAACGAAATTGTATTTTTGTTGCTGTCGGTTTACGCTTAATTACCTTGTGCCTTCCCGTTTGCCGTGTTCCCTTTCATTTCGAAGAAATACTCTCCTTTTTATAGCCGTACGCTTCGCGGAAATCATCATTATCATCATGGCCGCACGGATAAGGCAGAGGAGAGCGAAAAGGAGTCGCCATCGAAAGCGGAAAGCTAGGCGCACAAAAAGCTGAGGCGAATCCAATGTCGTGGCTTTTATGATGCGGGGGCATGTAAATAAAAAGTCGCATATCGTTCATTTTGGAGCGAACGGTGGCAAAAGGTCAAAGTTCGTTCCCTGGATTCCACACTTCCCGATTCCTGCACCTACGACCTTTTCACCCGACCTGGCCCTTAACCTTTCGCCCCGGTTTGTTAATTAAGGTGTGACAAATGCAATCTGCAGGCAAGTTAAGCGTGCAATCAGCCAATGTCCCATCTGGGCGGGCTGGCTCATTAAAATGGGATTTAGCGATGGCTCCATGGCGGAGCAGTACGAGTCCATGTCCATATGGACGGCCCGGCTCCGGCCTCGTCCTCGGCCTCGGTGCGGAGCGGAACGGAACCAAACCGACGTGCGAGTAGGTCTAGGCGCGATAAAACAAATGCCAAAGCCTAAAATGGCAGATTGTGGCCTTTGCCTTGCCGACCTGCCCGTTCGTTCTCTGCTAAATAAATTGCCCTTAAATCCGGCTGCAATTTGTTGCACACCCACATCGATGGGCAGATCGCAGATGGCCATCCATTGGATGGTGTGTTATGCGATGGCAACGAATCGGATGGAATGGAATGGGATGGGATGGATAGGATAGATAGGAAACGAAGCGTGCTAGGATTTGACCTCCACTATTGGTGGAGCCTATGGCAAGACCCTGTTCGATTTCGAATTCCAGGTACCCGCAGGGAAGGCACTCCAGAGAGCTCCTTAGATTGATGGTGAGGCCATGTGTGTGTTTACAAGGGCGTTTTCAGGATTTCTCGAAGAGCCCGAAGTTTTTTCGGTTAATTATCGTCTTTCTTAAGCTGCGTAGCCACCAATTCGATACAAACGAACCTACTAGAGCATTATATAATTCGCAATCTCGCTGATTGATGATCAGTCGCACTTCATAGCCAAGTCTCCCCTCCTCTCAACGTATTGGATAACCGTCCCACAGTAGCTGTGGTACATGGCAGAAGTTTTTAGTATGTAAACAGGTGAAGATTCAGAAATATAGAATATAAATGTATAGAATATATAGATGTATATGATTTGAGTCTGCTTTAATCGACGGTATAAGTCCTTTAAAGCGAGCCATTTCAAATCAACTTGTCGCCACGTATCAGGGGGTCGTCTGCCTCGTCTTGTTTTAGCGATACTTCCTTCTGAGTGCCAGCAGTGCTGCGAAAATAGGCTAAAACGTTTCAAAATAGGTAGTCATCTTTTTGGAGAATATTTTTTAGATCAATAGAGGCAAGAAACTTAAATAGCAGCCTTTGTAGCTGGTATTGTGTCCCATCCATCAAAACATAGTCCACAACACTTGTCGGGATCAAGATCCATCCATCCAAATCTATGAATACAATATATGTACATCATATGATAAATACAAAAATTAAGTTTAATAACAATTTTTTGTTACTTAAGCATGCCCCAGGAGGCGCATCCTGGGTACGCCCTTGTGTGTAGGGGGTTTAAAACTAACAGTTTATTTGCTACATCTCTAGAGTTTCCCGTGGGTAGATTATTTTTGCATCAGCAGAGCACTCGCAGGAGCGACTGCCAAACAACTTTTGGCACAGACCAGAAACTGTTTTACACTCTACGCCCACTCTGCGCCCACTCCATAGCCCGATCTCAGTGCCTGTTCCACTGCCTGCCCCGAACCAACTTTGTATAAAAATAAACTCTAATGCAAAATGTTGCGGTCTGTTTCCATTAAAATTCCCTGAACTTTCCTACGGCTTTTGGCAGTCGCCCTGCGTTGTCCTTGGCTCTAAGCGGAACACAACAGTTTTCCCTTCGATATGCGTGCGACAAGTGACACATACATGCAGGCACTACTCGTGCTTCCTGCTTCCTGTTGCCCGCTCCTCTCGCTCTGAGCTGCACTTCCATGGCCGTGCCCCGGGCTGGACATTAACCCATTTCCCCGCCCGCTCGCTGCCGTCAGCCCTCTCTCTATCCCCAAATAAACTGTGACACGGAAAATGTGCTACAGACGTTTCTTTGTGTCAGCGAGAGGCAGCCGAGTCACATAAAATCTGTTGAAATCGGTGCCCATTACCATTACCAGGGTATATTTGTATCGATTTTCATTTGTATGTCTGTATCTAGTATGACCGCCAAGTCCCTGGTTCTACCCATGCCACATTCTTTTGCTTTTGATCTATCTATCTTTTCAATGTAGATCTCGATCAGCTGGTATCAAATAGTCGACTCTTGCTCGTTTATTTCTGGCATCCGGTGCCGAAGCCCATTTTTCTTTCGCTGACACAAATTCCAGTGTCTCTTGGCTTATCCTCCTGTAATTTTTAGCTGGCCATTTTTATAGGCTTTATTTTTATTAATATTAACGATGTGCGATATTTCCCCTTTGTGTGCCTGTTGAGTTTACGCATATTGTGTGTGTGTTTTGGGCAAGTCGGAATGACCTCGCTGTATACGGTACGTCGTCAAAAGCACGACTCATAACAGGCAATCAAAAAAGCATCTGCACTTGCCAGCTCTCCGGCTAATTTGCATGCTAATCCGGCTAGCGATATGCAAACTAGACAGGCCCATGACCATCCCCCACCACCCCATCCTTCCACATAATCCAACCACCAATCATCTAACTACTCCTCGTGCTTCCTAACAATTCGAGTTCATATTTGCACTGCAACTTTTGCTGCCACTATAGATACTGCTGCTGTTTCTGTTTTATTGTTCAAATGTTGCCAGATCTCTGGGGATGGGATGGTAAGGGTTGGCATGCATAGGATGGGGATGCTATGGGGCTCTGTCACTTTGTTATTGCCATTTGTTGTTGGGCCACAATGTAATTTGGATTGGATTTTTATGACTTGCTGGCCGTGGCATGCAGTACGAATCCTTGGGGTTGACATATAATCAAAGCATTCATTGGCTGCTGCACATCGACATCGACCTGATGCTGCAGGGCTATTTTCTAGTTTATTTACAATAGATGCGAAAGCTAAAAACATGTCCCAAACATATCTGCACGATCAAAGTCAATATCTGTCTGTACCATGGTATATATGTAGTTATTCTCACGTTTTCGGAATATATTCTAGTAAAATTGATGCTCAAAAACCAGATTCTGCTGGGATCTATGTCTATTGATATTTTCCTCTTTATTGAAACATTCACTCGTATACTCATCGCTATCCCTATGCCAATCCCCCTACCCCTTCCCGTAGCTATTTGTTAGTCGCTTTTTCAGTCTTTATATAATCCAATCAAATAGTTTTCATTGTTGCTGCTACATATTTTTTTATTTAGTCGATTTTGTGTATCGAAATTGCATTTTTGTTATTTGTTTTGTCAGCAGAGACTGTTTTGCTTTGGTGGCCTGTCAGACAACTGGACGTCGCTGGGGTGTCCCCCGAGAATAGTGTGAACACAATGCCGGTTGTGTGGGTGTGGGTGTGGGTTTGTGTGTGGGTGTACGAGAGAGAGCTTTGTGTTTGGGTTAATTATCTTTTGTCGATTTAAGCATTTAGCTTCTGAAAAGAGCTGTCACACGGCGACGTCAGGACGTCAGTCAGCCCGCAGCAGCACAACAATGAGACCAATAAGCGGTACCCGAATACCAGATGAAAGAGCCATGCTAATCGTTTGAATATTTGTTGGGGGCGAGTGACGACAAGAGACTCGTTGGCAGCCCCAACAGGTGCTTGCTCATCTTCGCCGTTGACAATGAGAAGCATTACCGCATTGTTATGCTAAATTCTATGTGGTTTACTGGTTGTTCTGTTACTCTGTTACTCAGCTCTGTTCTGGTTCTGCTGGTACTAGTTTTCGTCCTCCTCGTCGTCGGTGAGGCCCACCACCTTGTCGGGGTAGAACTTCTTCAGCACTCGCTGCACATCCGGCACCAGATTCTCGTAATCCTCGGGGAACTTGTCCCGCCGCGGCGGACCCCTCGTCAGGCCCGACCACAGCTCGTGGACGGAGGTGCGTGCATTCTGGGAGAAGCCAATCTCGAAGGCGCCTTCCCGGGGCGCCTCCTTGCCGTTCTTGTTCCTCACCAGCTGGAACTCGCGCTCCGGAATGCGCTGCTTGAAGAAGGCCCCACACTCCTCGGCCTTCATCTGGAAGATGGGGCACTCGGTGGTGTGCTCCACGTAGAAAATCGAGCGCTCCTTGCTAAAGTTCTCATCGGCGGCCCAGTCCACCACTTTGACCTTTTTCTTCCCTTTGGGCATGCTACCGACCGTCACTGCCACTCCCCCGAATTATGGATTTTGAATTTTGTCTCTCCGACTATCCATCCGACTATCCGAACAGACGAGTATTTCAATGCATCATTGTTTCTGTTAATAATGCTTATTATGTATTAATTAATAATTTCCTCTACTGATTGATGTCTTGACTGCTGCGTTTTATGAATTCTGGCACAAACAGCGCTCCATAAATCTTCGCTCTTTGTTTTTCAAATTTTAAAAGTGCGCACTAGAGAAGACCAGAGAAGTCTCTGTCCAAAGACGTTTCTTCGACCATTAGCCTCTTGCTATTTTTAAAATGCAATCAGAAGCAACAACAATTTTTGGGGACATTCTGAAAAAAAGAACGAAACAACAACAAAAACGTAAAAGAAGACAAGAACTTTTATGTTAATTTGGCGGCACTGACAGACAGTCGAAAAGAAGCCTTCTGAAATGTTGCAGAAACATATGCTTTTACTGCCTCTTCAGGCAGATATTTCTCCATCTATTCAGACTCGTATTTGCTCGTTTTGTCTTTGTATATGTCATCTCAGATGTATGTTCACAGAGCTCCTATATAGACATCGATTTATGGTACTGCCTCTATAGGATCGAGCATCCGCAGCAGCCAGTCTACAAATTCTGTGCATAACAATAATATATGTGCATAGATATGTATTTATTTTGGATATAAGCGTGCATAAACAACAAAAGATACAGAAAATTATAAAAATAGTCAAAAGTTGGAGAAGTAGCAAATAAAAATAGTCACAAATAAACAAACAGAATGGAAAATCGAGAAGCTTCTTTAACAATTTCCTTCCAGCGATCCTTTGATGAGAGAATCATAAACGGGACAGTACCCTCAAACGAACCAGGGTATGTTTTATTCCCAGCTGGACATCTTGGCTCTCAGAGACTATAATTGAGAATTGGCTACAGACCAAAGCAAGCCCTCTTGCATTTAGCTGAAAGCAACCTCCAAGGACGAACCTACGTAATTTCATAATTCAAGTCGTTACTGCAATAAGTTTTAATTTTATAAATCATAGATTTGGTGGGATATCTTTATTCTTCCAAATGATTCCCAAATTACATTTGTTGTGTCATTTATTTCGCAATTTCTGGTCCTCCCATGGAAAAAGTTGAATGATCTCCCCATGGCACTACACGGTTCTCTACGGCACTCCACGGCACTATGTTAACGTATTTTGTATGCATTTTTCCAATTTCCTGATAAACACCGGCTTTTAAATGGAAAAAATCAATGGAAAATGAATGCGAAACGAATAAAAGGATCGCAGAATTGCTTGCAAAATGGCAATTTGCAAATGAAAAACAAATAATAAAAATATAAAAAAAATGCCAGGGACGTGCCAACCATCCACCATTCACAACAAATGGAAAAAAGAAAACCAAACCAAATACAAACCCCAAAGGCAGCCCCTAATAGAACACTGGGTTCTGGGTCGATGGCGCTGGCCTCCTTTAACGAGTCCCATAAATATTTATGTGCATATACACGTAGGTTCGAGCATTTCTCGATTTAATGCGGCGACATTTTAAAGCAATATTCAAATTTGCCATTTGCCGCCACCCGTTGCACGAACAATGTGCAAAGAGCGACATATATTACGGCCGCAAACTAGAGTATCTGTGTGTGTGCAGCCGTGCACTGGTTGGTATCGTATCTGTGTGTCCGTTGTATCTGCCGCTGTGCGGTATGCTTAAAAGCAAGAGGCGGTGGGCGGTAGGCGGTAGGCGGCAGGCGGCAGGCGGCAGACGGGTGAGAGCAAACAGCAAACAGCAAAAATATACAAATTTAAAGATATTTATTTATCTAAATACCGGAATATGTATCTGCGTTTCCATTGTGTCTGTGTATCTGTGAGTTTGCATACGCATGTCCACACATACTCGTATTTTTGAGATATATTTTTAAAAAATCAAAACGGCAAAACGACAATTTTTAAGGCGGCGTCGGATTTTTTTTGGTACAGAATTTTGACATACAGCGTCGACTGCGACTGCGACGCGGCTGAGGCGAGAGAAAATGAGTCTTGGGGCAGCTGCAAGCAGCGCCAGTCGATCGTACTGCTTAGTGCCACGCCGTGTTTCAGAGCGCCCAGGCCACGAGCCCCTTCGAGAGTGGAGTCCCGAGCACATAAACTGAAAGCCTATTTCCGAAACATTTCGAAAAACTCTAGTGAACATTTTTGATCGAGCCACAAGGCTGTGTGTGTGAGTGAATACTTCAGTTGGAATCCAGTCCCAGAAACCGAGTTGAAAGCCCGTCTGTCCTGTGCTCTTGCCCCCCCCCCTATAGCCGCGACACCAGGAGCAGCAGCATCCGTCGTCATGCAGGTCTTCGATAACAATATGGTAAGTGAAATGTCGCCCCGAATCGGGACCATTTGTGTCCGTTTCCTGTATCCTGGACAGGCACTTGGCCCCGTATTTGTGTTCGCGGTACCCCCGCTCCCCGTTCCGCCAATCCAGAGGGCATGCCATAGCCAAATTTATTGTCGCAGCTCCGTTTTGTCGTAGCCCCTCGTCCATCGCCTCCTGGCGGAGCACCTAGCTACGCTGTTAGCCCAGTTAGCTTAACCCAGAAATGTCAATACACAAATTCAAGTCGCAAGGGTCCTTAGTTTGCCCCTGACTTGCTCAACCCCGCCCCTTTTGGCCGCAAATTCCAGAAAAAGGTTTTGTCTGTTAACCAAAGAAGGAGAAAGCAATGGATAGAGAGAGATACTCGTAGAGCCAGAAAGACAGGAAGTCATGCGGTGTTCAAAATGCGCCGCCAAATTAATTACAAAAATTCACTTAGTGGCCGCGATCCAAGTGGGTCAACGTACGTACGAGCCACCGACAATTGCAGGAGGCAGAGTGGGTGAAGGTGGGGGGACTCTTTTGAAAAATTAAATGAGAATAGGCTTGATTCCAAGCAGACATTTGACGACTCCCCTATTGCTCCATAGATCTGCTGCGGTTTTCCAAAATATATTTGCCACAAAAACGGAATACTGAATCGTTGGAAAACAGTTTTGTCTGTGGCCAAAGTACTCGATATACTCGTATTTATTTGAAATATTTGTCCGGTCCGGTCATTTTCCATTCAATTTTATTCCACATGGTCTATAAATACCTAGAAATATCTTTATTAATAATAAAATAGGCTTGGCGACACACCAAACTGTTTTCCGTCTCAAACATTCACAAAGTATTCGCCAGAAGATGATTTCTTGGCAGCTGAGTGCTCAAATTCATACAAATCTTTACGAATAAATATGTAGAGACGTTTGCCTATACATACGCGTTTGTGTGGTGTATGGATACTATTGGGAGAATCTCCTATATATTGAGATATGTATGTTGCCATCGTGTGGGCCGGTTCAGCTCCTGCGTAAGATTATGGGGACAATTACATAGGTCTCAGTAGTAGTAGTAGTATTGGTAGTAGTATTAGTCCCCTCAGAGCTACCAAATTGGTGACAAGGTCGTTGTTGATGACGAAAGCAAAGATGTAGTCCATTCGATTTCCCATCCACTGGCACTGCTTCTGTACCCAGTAGAGCACGACATATAAATAGACCGACCGGAGAGTTTTACAATTCCAGCGACGAAGAACAGTCCTAGCCATGGAAATGGGAATGGGAATGGGAATTGGAATGAAAATGGTCTATTTTCGGGCCTGAATAAATCAATTGGCTTCTGTATTTATGCAGATGCCACCATTTGATTATTTCGCACTGTCGTTGATTTATGGCCAATGGCCAAAGGGGGGTTGGGTTGCTGTTGTTGTTGCTTTCGTTGTTGCGGTTTTCGGGTAGTAGCTCGACCCTCGCTCCTCTTTCCTTTTTTTTGCGATGGTAATGTGCACGTCATGTGTAATTGCTATATGTCAATGTCAATGTGTGAGTGGTTGAGTGGGTTAGGGCCTGATAGATTGTAAGGTGCGTGCATAGATGCACGTGCGGATATGTACGAGCATAGGATATTGTGCTTGCAATCGGTTGGGTTTAATCAAATTTCTGATGATGTATTGACGGAATGTGTCTGCCATTGAATGCCACAAATAGACAGCGGTAGGCATACTGAAAGATTTTCCAATCAATGAATGGCAGTTCTATTTCAAAGTCATACTCGTAGACGGCACACCAGAAATCAAATGAATGCATTTCCTTCAGCTCAAAAGGATTTCTGTCTCTCAATCAACAATAGATGAAGGAATATACACATTCATACATACATATGTACATGTCTATAAGTATGTAGATTAGCTCGGAGCTCAAAAGGTTTAATGGGAAATTTACAGCTGGAATTAGCTCTTCATATTCTGCAAAAAGAGGACTAAGCCAGAGCCCCTAAATATATTGACTATCAATCGATCAATAGATTTCTCCGGGACTCTGGGACTCTGCAACCAATAACTGGTGCCTGATCAAAATAGACAGTTCGAAAAATTTAAGTGGAATTCGCGATGTTTATTGACCAAAACACAAACGAGCGGCATTAGCCAGCCAACCATTTAGCAATGTTCAAATAATTACCCCACAAATAATGCAATCATTTCTGTTTTCTATAAATAAACCGGCATGTGTTTGTTTGAACAGAAGAATAATTAAATCGTACATTTCACTATCACTCTCTCTCTCTCTAGCGCCGTGCCTCGCGCCGTGCCTCATTGCGGCGTGGATCGATCTCGGCCCTGCCCCAGAAGTCGGCGGAGATCCCCTGGGACATATTCGAGCGGCTCTCTATGCCGTTCCTCTTCTGCCAGGCGGCGGCCATCGTCAGCTCCCATCTGCTGCACGCGCTGAACATATCCAGCATCTCCACCTTCGCCGTCTTCGTGTGGTTCGCCCTGGCCACCGTGGGAGCTGTGCTCTTCTACCACTTTGTGAAGGTAAGTCCGTAACGACACTCTCGTGTCCAAGGGGCCCGAGACCAAAATCAAACAGTGTAATCCTTTCAACGCCTGCGGCGAAACCGCAAGTAGGATAGGGACATGGATAGCTTTTGGGTTTGGCTTAGACATCGGGGTTTCGGTTTCCCAGCCGGCAGCCAGAAGCCAGTCACTAGCACCACTTTGGGGCATGTCTGGGGGCGACTGGGGCGGCTGCACAGCTCAAGTGCCAAACCGCATAGAGGGGCCTCCGAAATAGTAGGCAAAGCAAATCAGTTGTGCTAAAAATAGACAGCCCCAGGGATGTGGACGGAGATGGGGACAAATGTCCTGTGGGGCAACGTCAACTTATGTTTAACCAGAGGAAACCCTTGACTGTGGATTTGGCTTTGGATTTGGCTCCGTTTGATATTTCAGAGCTCGCTACACACACGCACACTCTCAGCACCCTCCATTTTCCTCTGGCTCTCCGCGAAGGAAAATGAAAACAAATAAATAAGCAGCCGCCAGAGAGAAAAAGGAAAAGAGAAACCCAAAGAATTGCTGAAACAAAAGGATTTTGTAATGAATATAAATTTTTAAATGTATTCTCTGGAAGAACTTTAATATAATCGCTTAAAATAAATGAAAGAAAAGCCCTTAAATAGTCACTCGCGTGGATGCCTCCACCGCAATTCCCTCTCACTCTTCTGTTAAGCTGATTTAAGCTGAATTCCACGGTTACATATGTACACACGAGGATTTGTACGCCAGGGATGTGGCATATGTTGATTGTTCATCGTTCTCTCGCTCTCCTATCTGATTGCGAACGCCCTCCACTTCTTTACACAATGGACAGCAATAATGCCATGATATTTCCATGTTTTCACACCGTTTTTCCGCTGATACGTACGTTCAGATGTACCTATGTATATGGAAGGTGGCGCCAATCGAAGTAGGCGGATAATTTAAATATGGGTGCACTCTATTTGGTTTAACTAGCAGGAGCAATCCGGAGCTGGGAATGCACCTGACAGGCCCCATTTTCTGCCCGGAAATTACGCGTAAAGGTCACGTCCAGGACACGTAGGCAGCGTATCGCTGGAACTGGAACATCACACACTCCACCAAATAATTAAGGTAATAAGCATGACTGCAGCATAATTAACAGTAGCAGCAGCAGATGCAGTCCCAGCAGGTGGCAAGACGAGCAGCAGCTCATTTGCATTTTCCCCTCCCCGTAAGAGACACTGCTGTTAATATTATAGGTACTAAAGTATGCTTAAATTTGTATGTATTTATTTGTATTTCAAGGGACAGGGATTTAATCTTTTCTACAAGTTCCAAGGAGAAAGAGTTACTACAAAATCGCCCATCTAATTAACCAGGGAACTTCCGTGTAGTATTTGCCCTACCAAGTTTTTCCCGGTGAAAACATTTCTCTTTGGCCTTCTGTGAGTAAAGAAAACTTGGCGCTTGATTAGTTTTCCACTCGATCTGGATGGACCTTTATCTCGATCAGAATTTGTGTTTCTGGCCAGGAAAGCCTCCACTGTGCATTTACATATTCGTTAAATTATTTGCTGAAAACATACTCATATACATTCAAGCCGCATTTATGTTCATGTGTGGGCGTTCCTGTGTGCATACTCATATATGGAGAAATGTGGCTTTCGATGGCCCTCGGCCTGGCCTGGCCAATGAGGGTCGCTGACGTGGCCTGTTTTAGGTCTTTGGGGACTCTGCCCCACCCTGTTGGCTCTCTGTTTAGCGTTGCATATCACGTTGTGCATTTCATTTTTATGTCACGACAGTCAAATTAAATTACACGCACGCACAGATATCCCGACGAAGGGGCTGGCACGGACGGATGGGTGGACGGATGGATGGATGGGTGAGACTGGAGGCAGCTGTTGACGGCTCAAATTGGGTGCAATGAAATGTAAATGTCTACTAATTAAATGATCAACAATCTGCCAGGTCTAATAATGCACTGAAATGCCCATCCCCATCTCCGTGTCTGTTCCTGCGACACTCGGAATGTTGGTTTCTATCGCGGTGTTGGTGTCAGTGTCGGTTTTATTGCGTTGCAGTTGCAATTACACTTTACGTAATATGCATAATTAAGCGTTGGGTTGCCCCATTCCCCTACTGCATGGCGCAAAGGGGGTTTCCGCTGCCATAGACGACATGTTCGCTGGGGAGTCAGAGTCTCTTCGGGACCCGCCAGAAGAGAATGTAACTAATTGAATTAATAGCTTTGTCTTGGCAACCCTAATGAGCAGTCGCGAGGCAACGGAACAGCAGCAACGACACAACATCCACACCTACGTCTACAACAAGTGCAAGTATTCCCATACAATTGAAGGCTCCGCGCTGACATTCTTGAACTTGTGCAGCTCGGTGCTTCGGCGGATGGCATAGATAAAGTTCTACCAGCTGGAGGAGCCCCAGGTGATGTCGGAGTTGATCCGAGAAGAAATCGTATCGGTTTCGCTAATGCCATGAGCCAGTGGCACTTGCCACTCGAGACGCAAGTGGAAGTGGATACATACATATTTCTGAACTTAGAAAGGGCGGACCAAGTTTTTGCAGCAGCTGAAGGGCGCACTGGTGGCCTAATGGATGTTGGAGCTAGTTCATTGCCAAGCAAACCCTTTTCCTGTTGGTTTTTGCTATCCATAAGTGTTCGTTTCCTCTGCACACTTTGTGGCCTTTACAGCTTCATAAAACTTCTGCTATAGACAAATTTTACGCTGATTTGTGAGCTGTTAACCGAAAAAATGGCCACACACAAAGGGACGGAGGAAGGGATAGCTTTGTCAACGGAAAGAGAACGAGAAAGAGAGACTGCACTCTCAATTAGGAGAAGATGCGAGTCCGGAGTCCATTGGGGAGCGTCAATGCACTGAGGCAACTGAAGGCTATATAAAAGGCTGCTCCTTGTCCCAACTCCACTGTCCTCTGTCCTTTCCTCTGCAGCATTGTCTCTCTCTTAAACAAAAACACACAACACACACACACATACACCATAAAAAGTCATTATGGGAAAAGTTTCGCTAGCCCCCTCTGCCTCTCTGTGTCCTCAGTTCTGCTTTTCTGTGTCTCTGTTCTGTTTCTGTTCACTTGGAGTTTTATGGCCCCGCGCGTGGCCTGTTGATTCACACAACCACACATTCACACACTCACACACACACACATGCGCATACGAGCACAGAGGACATTCAGAAATGGCAATGGCGTGCCCGGCCTGACAATGGCGGGCAATGAAGGACATCAGGACATGGCTCATGTGGCCACCATCTACGCGCATTGCGTTTCTTAGAATTGCACGCCTTTAAAACGCCTTGACAACTTTCCGCCACCGAGGAAAACATCTCTTTCGACCGCAGGAGCGGAGCTGTGCTGTGCTGGGCTGTGCTGTGCCTTTGCCGTTGCCATTGCCTTTCCAGTTGACTCAGTTTTGCTGCGCATTTTAGTTAAATTAAAAACCAATTGCACATGACGCAGCCGTGCATCCACCGTGCATCCGCCGTGCTCGTGTGCATCATGCACGGTTCAGCAAAAGGTCAGGGGTCGACCAGATGGCAAATCACCCACCGCTTGATTGGTAGTCCCAGTCCTGGCCGCAGTTGTGCAACCACTTCGATCCTTATTCGTCCATTTGACATTTGAAGTAGCTCAAGTAGTATCCATTCGAAAACTCATCTTCTGGTTAGCGTTAGCACTGTCGCTGCTTTACTGCTCTACGAGTGGTACGAGAATCTCTCTATTCAAACCCATGTACTCCATTTTAATTAACTTCAAATGCCAGGGGCATCACTTGCAGACCCAATACAATCACAATTGAATTAAACATATATAAATTGGCATACCGGCACGCTCTGGCTACGAGATGGAGATGAATATGAAGGGATGAGGGGGGAGATATTTAAACAATCTCACAGAAAAGTCCGCACACATGCTGAGCTACCATAATGGCTGGCATGGCACAAAGTCAAAGCTTTGCGTGTTGCCGGAGTCACACACACAGATACACAGGGGCACAGAGTCTCCCACTCATACACGGGGAAGTCAGAGAACAAGCTGCAAATTGGCCAGACCGTCCTATTCTATTCCATGGCATTCCTTGCCTTTCGGTTCGTTTCGCTCAGTACACCGCATCGTATGCGCAATGCGAAAAGCCTTTAATGCTGACGTCGTCCTCTGTGGATGGCGTGAAGTTGCCAAAGGACCTGACAGCCACACGCCAGAAAGAATACGTGCGTGCTTTCACCTATCCACTCTATCTATCTATGTGTATCTCTCTCTCTCTCTCTCTCTCTCTCTGTCTTTCTCTGCCTCTGCCTGTGTCTGTGTCTGCGAGCGTGCGGAAAGCAAAACACAGAAATGGTTTTTAACTTTCCGGTTAATTAATTTATTACTGCCTAATACGTTCAATGACTTTTGGCGATCGCCGCCCCTCGATGCTCGTCCTGCTGTCATTTGTACTCATTTGCCCTCTTGGCCAAATATTTTTCAGTTAATTTATTTGATTTTATATATGTACATATGCCCTCCGGCGCTCCCTCGCTCCGGCCCTCCGGCTTTCCTGCCCATTTCTGGCTATTTTTAGTCACTGATTTAATATGCGTGCATGCGTGTGCGTGCTTCCCTTTGTTTCCCATTTTTTGGCTTCTCTTCTCTCTCTGTTTTTTGCCACATTTCGTCGCCCTATTCAGAGGAGGACAGTGAGAGGAGTGCTAAGGTGAGGAGAAGGAGGTGGGGAAGGAGACGAGAACAGTGGGGACAATTTGTATGCGGTTTGTTCGCCATTTTTCACTTCAACTCGCACTCCGCCACATCTATATCTCCATCTTCCCCACTTTCACGCTCCCTGCGTTATGCTTATGTAGATTTATTCGAGGGCTCTCGAGCGGTCAAGCATGTCGCGTCTTCTAAGGAGCTTTATGTGTCTGCCTGGTGAAAGGGAAAGCAAAATAGCGACCGAATAGAAAGTACAAATGATAGCAGGCACACAAACAAGATAATACATTTGACTGTGAAAATCTATACTCAGCTTTCGGTTTATGGCTCTACTAGCTCATCCCCCTTTATCGGGGGTCTAAGCATGAATTTATTGTATGACCCAGGAACAGGAATAGTTCTTTCATTTTTCAATGTCTTTACTTACATCCCGAGTAATATTTATGCACATTTCCAACAGTCCCACAGTCACAAGCCCACGCAATTCCCCTGCCGGACACTCTCGCATTATCTTCATGGTCATAATACCCGGCGAGTAGTGCGACCGCCTGGAGTAGGTCTCCAATCCCCGAACTCCCCGGACTCCCCGAGCTTGTCATAAGTTTATTCTCGCAAATGAAGGCGCACATGCTTTCCCGGAAAGTTTCTCCCTATTGTTGTTTACTTTTTACACGCATTACTTTTCCGTTTTCCGGTCGCCCACACAAACGGAGGAGGCACTGTCCACCGCTCCTCTGTGGCTCTGAAAGTGCTGCTAACTTGTTGCAGTTTACACATTAACCTGCCAGTCTGCCCCGTCGCCCCTCTGGCTTGGCCCTGCCTTGGCCAGCTCCAAGTTTTTCCTGCCAGCATAATGCATTATATAAATATTACGTATACGCCCCCAGTATACGTAAGCCAAATTTAATGAGCCTGTGGCGAGGAAAGCGGCGGCGCGTGCGAGTGCTAGTGCCAGTGCAGGCAAATCGCGTGCCCCACTGCAATTCATCAGATTCGGCTAAAAGTGTGCGGAAAATGGTCCGCTTTTGGGTGGCGGCACCTGCTGCTCACGGCCTGTGGCATAAATCTTCCGCTAGCACTTCTACTTCCCATCGCAGTTGCAATTGCAATTAAAATGCAATAAAGGATGCATTTAAATCGCTAAACTGGGAGCAGAAGCAGGAGGAGGGCCGCTCTGTGTGTGCCTCTTCATTGACTTGCTCGCTTCCCATGCTCGGAAAAATGTGGAAAAGTCCCATTTCCGCTCAGCCAATCGTTCGCATTTCGCTCTTCCTCCACAAGCAACTCGTTCAAATGAAGGTGACTGACATGCCCCAGGGCTAAGCCGCTGCAGTCTCACTCGCTTTCCTTGTGAATTTTCTTGAATCTATTTCGGTGCATGCAAGTTTGCTTCTATTTTGGGAACGGTTTAAAAAAACCACAAGCCGACGTGCTGGCAGACACGACATGACCGCAGAGAGGGAGTGTTAGACGGAGACAGGTGGCATGAGGCATGAGGCCGAAGTTAGGCGGCAGGTGCTAGTGTCAAGGGGTCCGTTTTTTTTGTATCCCTGCACGTTGCCCCTGCGCTCGGCAAAGTTTCTTTGGACGGCTTGCGACGTGCAGTACTCCTTTCGTTTCCTTTCATTTGCTTTGCTTTGCTCTTTCACCTGTTCACACGAAAAGCTGCTGAAATTTTACACAAGCGGCAAGGCCGAGCGGCCACAAAGGGGGGCAGGAACGAACGGCATCTGACGACAATTCACAGCACATTTCCCTAATAGAGCTCTCAAGTTTCGCCGCAATTCGACTTAGTTCAATGTAACATAATCCTCTTGGCTTGGACTCATTTAGCAGACTCCAAAGGATTATCCGGCTGGAATATGACGCCCTCTTGCCTTTGGCCAATTTTCACAAATTTTAATAAGTTCTTGGTCAAGAGTCTCCCTTGAAGCACAACTGTTTCTTGGTCGAGAACTTTTCCAAGTGAACCAAGTGAACAATGCTATGTTTTTCTATCGGGTTTCCCCTTACACAAGCTGTGGTTGCAAGCCCTTGCCCTTTGCCTTTGCCTTTGCCCCTTGCGCCTTGTCCATGCCTCAGGCTATCAGCAGTCTCCAGGCCATACTCTCAATGCAGTTTAATTGACTCTAAGCATTTCGTTGCTGGGTTTTTAGTCGCCTTCTCAGTTCCATCGGTTTTATCTGCTCTTTTTCCATGCTGAATTTTAATTGCGGATGGTTTTTACTTGCAGCCAAGTTTAAAGTCATTTCTGCAGCACCGCCATAAATTGGGGTGCCAGGAAAAAGCAGGGAACGCGATTACCGCCATCCAGCGATATATGCAAGAGTATTATGAAGTAAATTCGCATAAAAACTCCACGAAAGAATACTTGTCGTAAAGTTGGCTAGAGATACGTAGAGAAGAGAAGTGATTGGGGCGTATGGGAGGGAGGGGGGAAGGGAAGGAGTGAATAGTTTTATTTTTATTAACGCCAAAGAACGGCCAACAGATTTCGATAAGCCAAACACTTATGGCCACAATAAAATGTCGGCCAGTCTTAATGGGTGTCAACAGCACGGCCAATAATAATACACACCCCCCACACGCCGACTCTCGACTGCCGCTGCCACTGCCGCTGCCACTGCCGCTGCCCCGTGCCCCGTACCCCGTGCCGCCTCCTTTTCTCCGAATCTCCTCATTTTTTAACAATTTTACGAGCACTTTATAACAGTTTGATAGCCCGAACAATGAGTAGCCATCTCTAGTTCTACTTCTACTTCCACATCCACTTCCATTTCCACATTCCCCTCGAGACCGGCTGACGCACTCTGAAGACCCACCCAGACGCCCACTCGAGCCCGAGACCCAGCCCGAGCCAGCCAATAGTCTGGGCAGCTCCATTGGTTAATGGCATGATGAGTTATGACACCAGCACTACCGCAGGCGCGTTGACTGACAGATCCAGAACCAAGGAAGGGGGAAGGTTGATGAGCTGGAGGTTGAGCTGGACGTGGAGGTAGAGTGGTGCTGGTGGAGTGGATTGGCGCGTGTCTGAGGCGGAAGTATCAGTGAGCACACGTCTTCCTGGACTGTCGACTGTCGACTGTCTGCCATCAGTGGGTCAGAGCTGAAGTTAGACAAATATCCACGCATTCGGTGTCGACTATGTTCTGCTCTCGAAATTCGCCCAAAAATAGCCAATTTTGAAGAGCAGAAAGTCGTTAAGCCCAGTTGACACGACATGACTTTTAAGTAGTCTTAATGAGTGGCCAAACTTTGAGCCTAACAAAGACATTTTTGGCTGGGCTAAAGGTCAAACATCTAACATGACGCCCTGCCTCAAGCTTGCACTGAAAGACGAGAAGCACCGCATCCAAAAACCAGCCAACCCCCACCCACCCACACACAGTACAGGAGATGAGTAATTGGTACTAAAGTTATTGAACATAAATTAAGTGACTGTCTCGGTGACCGTCAAAGGGTTGAACAACCACGAATCATTCACCTTTTCATTCCATTTCGTCCGTTTCGTCAGGTGTCGGCTTCGGGCAAGGGCGTGCTAATCACCGGCTGCGAGGCCCCGCTGGCTTGGTACTTGGCCAAGAAACTGGACGATCTGGGCTTCACCATCTACGCCGGCTTCAACACCCCCATCGAGGAGTCGGACGAGGCTGGCATTCTCAAGGAGGAGACCTCCGGCCGCATGAAGCTTTTGCACTTGGACGTTACGTCGGAGAAAACCGTAAGTCTCCACAGGGCTTTTGATAGCTTTTCCCCACGAAGCTTTTAGCTAAACTCCGCTCCACATTACAACACTTATCGGCAGCTTTTGGAGGCTGCCCACTTTGTGTCACAGCACCTGCCGCACGGCGCCCAAGGACTGTGGGCTGTGGTGCACTGCGCCCACTGGATAGCTTTGGGGGAGCTTGAGTGGATTCCATTCGCGGTGCTGCGCAAAAGCTTGGATCTCAATCTACTCGGTGAGTGGGGGCGCCACTGAACAGGACTTTTCCGGTACTCAGTACTGACCAGAGCCGTTCCGTTACCCTTGCAGGAGCCGCTCGCCTGACTCAAATCTTCCTGCCGCTGGTCCGACGTGCCCATGGACGCGTGGTGTTCCTCACCTCCGGCCTGAACCGCGTCCCATCGCCCGTGCGTGGCATCCAGTGCGCCACCCAGGCTGCCGTCGACTGCTTTGCCGCCTGCCTGCGCCAGGAGATGCGCACACGGGGCGTGGATGTGTCTGTGGTGGCGGCGGGAGAGTTCTCTCCCGGCAACGGCTGGCTGAACGAGACGGAACTCCGCGACCAGGTGAGCATTCGATGCTTCCCCTCTTAATGGCTTGGCAGAGGCAGAGGCAAAAGCGGAGGCCATGCAGCCAGAGCAGCCTTGCCATGCTTTTAGTTTTTTACGATACCATAACCATGTCGAAGCGGGGGAACTGGCAGAACTAGGAACTCATTAACTCTCCTTGCGTCTCCTTGAAGGCCAAGCAAATGTGGAACCAGCTATCGTCGGAGCAGAAGAAGACCTACGGCGAGGATTACTACGAGGCGGCCATGACGTCGGTGGAGAAGTATTCCCGCGAGGTGAGGGGCCGCACAGCAGTGCCCGACGTGTCCGACAGCTAACGAGCATTTAATCCCCCTCCACAGGCCGCCGATATCCAGCCCACGCTGCGTGTCCTCATCGACGCTGTGACCAGGACCTTCCCCATGGCCCGCTACACGCCCGTGACGGCCAAGGAAAAGCTGCAGATCTTCCTGGCCGAGCACCTGGCCCCCTCCCTGTACGAGTCGGTATACGGCGAGCAGAAGAAGTTCGTCTACTGATCCGAGAACACCCTGACACCCCGACACCCCAGCCTCATCCCCATGCCAGCCCCGACCAGCCGCCCCTTGGATTACTATTGATTGCTTATGTCCCTTTTGCCATGTCCCTCGTGGCTCCCTCGTGGCTCCCTTTTGTATAGGGCATTTATAAGAAAACTGTCAGAGGAGGAGCGCTGACGGTCGTCAATGAGCATTTAGCTATGTTTTTTCCCGATTATTTTGATAATTATTCTCAATTTATGACAATTTCCCGCGTATCTGCATAATGTTATTATCCTTAGTTGCTAGAACGAATTGTGAAACGATGAATGATAAGAAAAAGTAAAAGAAAAACTAAAATGAAAACAAAACGAGTAAACGGTGAATTTTACCTGAATTCTAACGGATGTTCCTGGAAAATGAGAACACGAACAGCTGGACAAGAATCATTTCTTGGTGTTTCATTCTTTTGGCCTGTTGGTTGAGGAATTAGTCGGACAAGCAATCCAATGAAGTGGAACATTGTTTGATTTGTAGAAAATGTCATATTACCACCTCCTCTACACTCCTGGGAGCACCCTTTAAGCATTTTAATTGCTTGTGTTTGCCATTGGTTGAGTGCTGCGTCTCCAATGAGACGATGGTTTGATCTGCTCAATCCAGACATCATGCCATTCCACTCAACGGCATTAGACATACCTCCAGTTCCCGCTCCCTCTCCAGCTCCTGCTTATCATACCCCCACATCACAGCCGGGACTAAGCTTAAGTGCACTGTCAGAAGCACTGGAAAGCAGACACAAATAAATTCTATAAATTTTGAATGCATGTGACTCGAAACGAGTATGAGGGGAGCTCAGGTGCTGCCAGCCAGTCCCCGTCCCTCGACAGCTCAAGGGGTTGCTATGAAGCCATAGCGAAGGAGTTTATAGGGAGTTTATAGGGTACCCAGAATCGCATAACTCGTGCATAAATCTCTCATAGTTGCTAATGTAAACCACAGCTGGCAGCTACTCCCAATCCGCCTCCCAGATGGCATCCGCCGCATGTTCGAACTTTTGCGAAAGAATACCAACTGAACGAACAAAAAGCACACAAGTTGCCTGGGAAATGAGTTGGTTAGCTCAGCTAACACACAGATAAACCCGGGAACAAATTTCCCTACAAGCCACTATAAGACACAGACCAAAGGTTCTATGTGTGATTCCGTCTCTCTGTCTGCATTTATCTGTCAACATTCCAACTGCGCTGGCCTCGGGTCTCTGGTCTCCGGTCCTCATCGTTTCTATTTTCCTCGTAACATCCTTTGTCTCTGTCGGCGCCTTCCGTCCCCAGAGCTGTTGTATTTGGCTTACCAATCTGTCGGACTTCCACTGTGATGCTCACAGCAGATGAGCTGACCAGGTTGATTCAGGAATTCGCCAAATTCGTTGGAATGTTGCTTTTCAAGCTTCTTTGCAGGCTTCTATCCGATATAAACGTACCTTACTCTGGAGCTCTGGATCGCAATTGTGTCCATTAAACATGCTTTGCTCTACAAATTTGATGAAGCCCATCTAGTCCGTAGTTGCCCTTGGCAGTAACTGAAAGGAAAAACTCGTAGCACATATTGTTTAAACGTTAAAGAACACATCTATTTACATATTCTCCTACCATTTGTCCACTTCGGATAATTAAAGCTGGGCCCAATTCCAAGGGCACTGCAAGTGTCAGCTGAGGCACAGGAAATGCCCTTTCGGCATTCGACAATTTCCGATTACTCGGCCCCTGGCATCGACATACAAACATATACAATAGAAGTCGAACAACCACAAGTAAATTGGGAAAGAAAACGCCTTCGAACACATTTATTCTCCATTTATTGTATCGATAAAAAGTAATTTTCACACAATGACCACAAATTTTTTCCGAGTATTGCACACGTAACAGACTAAAATTTGAATTGAATTGCTGGTGGACAAAACGAAGAAGTAAAGTCGATTGAATAAATTACCCTCTCCTCCTATTTGGTGCAGAAAAGTGTTTTGTTTTATTGTGAACAAATCCATAAAAACATTAAGTACAATTCGGTTGGTGCTTAGTGTGAGCATTTATGCAACAGGCATTTGATCTAGACTCAATTACAGCCAAAAACCATTGCTTTTTGGTTGGTATTTACCTGGACAGTGCTACGGATTCAACAGACATACCAAAGAATGGTATGTTCCCATTATGGAGGAGTAAGGTACAGACAGGAGAGTTTCGTCGATGCCCCACTGGGTGGGACGAGTGTAAAGGTATCTAAGAGACTGGGGATCGGCCTTTGAGACCTTTTAAGTTACACAGCTATTGGTCTAGGAACAATGGTCGGCTGAGACTGAGATTGGGCATTCTAGGTGAGAGTATATCTATGAAAATGTGGGCTCGAAAAATACACAACATTTAGCTCTAGACATGCAGATAAAACCCCCGCAAAATGACTTCAAATCGGTCGCTTCGCTCCAAGTGCCAGCATCAAAACGTGTTTCCAAAAATACCCGAAATCTTGGGGTTCCGGCTTGACAATAAAAACTCGTACAAATTCCTTACATTTCTATCATAAGCGGCGGTTCCGTTCCGTTTCCATTCCATTCCCAATTATCCCAAACCCTTAAATGTGACTCACGGATGTCCCCTAGCAGGACAGCTCCGTGGATCGCCGCGCCGTCTCGCTCTGCGCACAGTATTCGTTGTCCTTTGGCTCCCGTCCTGTAATGTCCACCAGCGAATTGGGATCCATGTTGGACAGCTTGTCCAAATAGTCGTCATTGACGAAGTTCTGCTGCAGCTTGCCCACCAATTTCCGTAGGCGTTGGGCATCCAATGATGGTCGGCGCAGATTGGCATTATAATCGCTCGCCTGCGGGCAGGACATTGGAAGAGGGCGGTAGAAGAGGTGAGAGGGGAGAGGGAAAAGGTGTTAGGTCTAACTCACATCTCGCCACTGCTCTCCCGGAAAGACTGCAATCAGCTCGGCATTTGGCTCCAAGGTGCTGAAGTACTCCTCGTCATCCACTTCGGTGCCATCGCAGTCCAGGTGTATCGCCGGGTCAGCGCGCTGGAACTTTGCTGCCACCTTAAGGCGCATCTCCGCGAGTGTGGTTGCCACCACAGCCTTGCGTATGTTGCGTGTGATGTCCTTGATCTGCAGGTTAAAGCATTTAAAATTGCTCAGTTGCTCCCATTAAAATTTATAGCGTATGTCCCCCGAAAGAAAGCCCCACAACGGCCCCAGAAATTGTTGGCTTTAACTCACAAAAGCCCCCAGCGGCATACGTGTACGTATCTCTCCCCTTAAGTTCTCAATACAAACAATAAAAACCAATGAATCGGCTGTGATAAGGAGACAAAACATGAGGGTAATGGAGATGTATTGTGTAAGTATTGTTGATAGAGATGCCGGAGGCAGGCAGAGGCAGCCAATCAATTTATTATTTGCCAACGCAACAAAGCACCCCAACAATGGCAAGGTCGAGGCCAGGTAACCGATTATATTTTCATTTCTTGCACTCGTCTGTCTTTTTTTTCGGGCCTAAGAAATTGGTACTGAAATATTTAAAGCCTAGTGCTTAAAGTAAAAGCCTGGAATGGATGGATGGATGGAAGGGTCAAGCAAAAGAACAACAAAGTCAGAAACAGAAGCTGAAACAAAAAAAAATGGCACAAACGAGTCCAGAGCAATCAAAAAGGAGCAAACGCTCGCTCCAAAGGGTCGGGAATAGGTTGAGCCGGGCCAATCGCCAAAGGATTTCCGCTCACTATGATGGATTTGCAGGTGTCGACTGCTGACAGCCGACTGTCAGGCGGTTTGCGGCCATTTAATCGTAGTGCTCAGACCGAGACCCAGTGCCATCTCTATTCTCCGACTTCCTAATCGATGGCACTCTGACTTGGACGACTCCCCGATGACTGGCATCAATCAATTCGCCAGCCACTTTGTCTCGTAAACCAATTATTCGATGCTTAGAGGACCCATCAAATGACCAACCACATCTCGGGTCTGGCCAAAGTCTCGACGGCTCGACGTCTGCTCGTCTGGATGTCTTCGATGCTTCGACGACAATGAAAATGTATCATGCCTTTCACGCGAATTCGAATGGATGCCAGTCACGGCGGGGGTTAAGTGGGATCGCACTTATATTACGTGGATATTTTCAACTGGTTTGTGGGTTTGGGACTGGACAAGCGAGTTTCCCTTGAATCCATTATGTGGGTATGGCACAGTACGTGTATTCAATCAGCTGTCTGCCTTTCCAAAGGGCAAGGGTAAGTCTGGGCCATATGCCAATGGCCTGCGGTTTTGTTTGCACTTTATACGTCTTTTGAATTGGCTTTTCTGAATGCCAGCCCACACCTATTCTCCTTTCGAGGCTGTTGCCTCATTATAACTTGGGCTTCTGCTGTTTCTCGGTCTCTTAGCTGATGGAAACAATTTTTTTTCCGATTGGTTGAGTTGGAGTTGGCTCCGGGCTGGCAACGAACCCTGAATTTTGGAAAACCCCTTGCCCAAATTCCCTTCAACATTGTGCAGGAGTATTGTCGCAGTCAACTCAGTGGCCCTGCCCTGCTGAGTGGTTTCATCAACCAGATCAACACGATTGTTCCACTCGGTGTCCCGATCTATCGGTGCTCGGCTCTAATGAGAGCAGTCATGAGTACACAGGTGAGCCGTGAGCCGGGCAGGGCCAATATGTACCTCTGTGCGGTTGGGTCTGCGTTGGTACTCGCATTTCTGTTTGCCTGCCACTGTCAATATTCTCCCTGTAAATTTGTAGTTTGTATAGCAGGAGCAGCGGCAGGACAGGCCAAAGCATTACACGGGCAATGGGCAGAGATGCCCATGCCGATGAAGGCATGAATTCAACATGAGGACCACGAGAGACACAAGAGGAGGAGGCAACTTTTATGTGTGTCTGTGTCTGTTTCTGTTCCTATGTCGGAGTGTTTGCAGTCTGAACTCTGTAGTGCTTACAGACCATGCAAATTGGGGACAATTAGAGGTTCTAAAGTGACACAAGCCGATAGCGAGGAGAGGGTACCGCAATGGAAAGTTATGGTACTTCGCAGGAAATTTTCCTCCTTCATTTTCTATGCTTCCCATTGTCTCGCTTCACCGCTCATGCTGTCCATTGTCGCACTAATTTCCCATGATTGGCATCAAAGTGATAATGGGAGCTACATATGTAAATCATTGTCTAGTATTTCTTCCCCGTTCTATGCTGTCCACAGATCTGTGGCAGGCCGGTGCGGGTTGAGAGGCAATTTACATGCTTGTCGTCACATTTACGAGCTCACTCGTATTAATAACAGGGACATCTCTTCAAGGGGCCGACCATCGGGGGAGTGGTTAAGTTGCACGCCTGCCCGGACATGAATAATGTTCGCATATTTGTTTTAATGGGCAACGTTGCGTATACGCATTGTGCGGGCGAAGCTTCTCCCTTGACGTCTTCTTTTCCAAATGCCGTTCTCTGTTCTCTGTTTTCTGTTGGCTGCTGTCTTGTTCTCTGATGTTATTCATCGTTTATGTGGCTCCGTCCATGGGTAATTTAATTCCGGCCATGACGCGGCTGCTTTTCCTTCCTTTTTCCGCTTTTAAGCTCATTTGGAAGGTGTCTGTGTGGGTGTGTGGCTGTGCACTCTGGAGCACGGGACTTTTTTTGAATCCAATTGGATGTGGACTGCAGCATGGAAATCGCATTTGCGACTCAGGAACTGTGCCTGGAGCGAATGCCGACAGGACATGGTGGGAAAATGTCAGTCCCCCAGGAATTATACGTGCAATTCAGTGAACTTTAAACTGAGCGATGCTTCGCAATTTCTGTGATCAAATTCGCAGAATCATTGATTGATTTCACAAGAAATGATATGTGTTGATCTAGCAAGTAGCAATTGTTCTGCTCCAGCAGAGTACAATTGATGTCAGATTTCCGCATAAATTCAACGAAGAGTAAGTAATCCTATAAACTCATTAATTCCTACATATATGTACTTTCCCATGCAGTTCCATTGAATCTACCAGCGAGTAGATTGCATATTCCATCAATTCCATTCTCTCAAAGCTATAAAAATTTGATGAGCACCATCCCCACACACACGGACTGCTTTGAAAGGTGAGTGATGGAAGAGGAGACCGAGGTGGGGCTAATTAATTAGCTAAAATACGCATGAATTACACATTTGTTTACCATCCGTCATCCCTTTGCCCTCCATCCTCTGCGTGCCACTAATAAATTGCCCAACATTCGGGCACTGGCAAGCTGTCAATTAATTGCTATATATTTCTGCTGCTGCTGTCTGTCTCCGTGGGCGTGGCTGTGGGAAGAGCTTATCATCTATGCAGTGGGCCCGATGCTGATCTTTTGGCCATCTCGTATTGTTGTGGCGGCAGTCTCTTTAATGGCTTTGGCACACACTTAATCGATTAGGCCAGAGCTCCTTGAGAGTAGCAGTTCTTGGCCCAGCCCGAAGATGCGGGGCCAAGTGCCAGACGGCTCGTTATCGTCTCACGGACGGCTGCAGACGAGACGGCTTATTGGATGGTTGGTCGATTGCAGGAGGGGGTTGCCATACAATCTGGTTCAATTCATATTGGCGCCCGCATGCTTCTCCTGCTGCTGCTTTTGCTATTTTATCTAGCTGAACGAACAGTTTCAACATTTTAATTAATTTTCAATTCTTGGCCATCCACAAAATTGGCATCCTTTTGCCCAGTTTGTGGTGAACTTATATTATTCGTATAGCCATGAAAAACGAAATAATAAATAAAGAATACAAACAATAAAAAGAAAAAGAATAATAATGAAAATTCTCTATACACACAAGTCTCTTTTTCGGGCTGGGAATTAGTGTTTTTTCCGCTTCAGCCCTGCGTCGGCCAAAAAACTTGAAAAGTTAACCAAACGCATCAGCGGCGGCGGCAATAGAAGCACCAATGTCGATGCCCCTCCACGTGGATGGCTCTGAAGTGGCCCGGCCAGCTTTTTTCGAGCCATGCTGCTGATGCTGGTGATGGACTGACTCTTCACAACTTTTGCGCCAGCAACAGCGCGGGGCACGGCCATAATCACTGAACGGAATTCTGGCCCAGCGAGCATAAAGCTCATGAAGGGCCTAGCGCGCACAAAGGCTATGGCTGTACGGTACCCACCTTGAAGGGTTTGCTGTTGTCCAGTTGGGCGAAATCCTCCTCGGACATGGTGGGCGGCGGTGTGGGCGTGCTGCTGTGGGGCGAGAGAGCCAGCTCCAGTGTGATGCTGTCAGTGGCATCATCCGCCTCGGCATCCACTTCAATGTCATCGCCATCCGCATCCAGCTCTGCGGTCCGTGTCAATGTTCGTTGTCTGGATGGTGGGGCAGATCCAGATACAGATCCAGCGTCTGCGAGTGCTCCTGGTCCCTTTGTAGTTTCTATTCCTGTTCCCTCTGCTCCTTGGGATTCCATTCCAGTGTCTGCATCTGCCATTCCGGTGGCAATTTTACCATCTGCCGCTGCATTCATTTTTGTCCTATCTTTTTTCTCTCCGAACTTTTTGAGTCTGCAACACCACCAAAGGATTTATGACAAGCAAACAAAATTTGAGCATTAATTGAAATATCTAGTTCGCTGGGAATCCGGTAATGGATCCTACGAGTTTGAAACAGTTAGGAACACTTTCCCCTGGGAAACGGTTACAGGAAAAACCCATCATTTCTCATAGCTGGATAAATGTTTACAAAATGCTTTTACGAACTTTTGCCATCAGTGAACTTTTCCCTTGGGAAAATGTACTAAATGTTTTCAATGTTAAGCTACTTTTGGCTTTAGAAAAATGTTTAAATGTTTTCACATATTAGGATTATTAAATTTCTTTATTTTTACTTAAACACTTTATTTGTGTAGTGTTTTTCCTATGGATTTGTGTTTACCTTCTAATTAATTTTGCACCGGGGAACTGTTCACATTGTTTTTAAAAACATTTTTCGCCAATTTGTTGCCGATTAAATACGCTACGCGAGACACCGCCGGAGTTCCGCCGCTTCTCAACAGCCAAGTGCAACAAAAGCCGGTCGAGCTTGGAATAAATTGCCAGACATCCGACCGCCCTGTATTTAAACAAGTCAGGACATCGCTCGGCAATAGCCTCGGCCTTTGCAAACACAGCCAGCACCCGCCAAGCAAAGTCAGAGGGAAAAACCAGGAAAACCCAACAAAGAAAAGCCAACTCGGAGCTTTCGCAAAGAGAGCGCCAGAGCGCTAACAGAGGCCTGTTAAGGTTCTGTTAGGCTAGGGGCTGAATGGGCGTGACTGGGACGCAGACACCCATCGAATGTCTGGCCGGGATGGGACTCTATGGGACTCTATGACCTGTGAATGGAACAAAGATTCTCGGAGCAGGTGCCACAGCCAAGCAAATAGTTGCACTTGGCCCAACAACACCCGCATATAGAGGAGAATGTATGTATGTACATAAAGGCAGTAAATATAAATAATTTAGCCCGAACTTTTCGAGGCGTAAGGGCAAAGTTTGCAAACGCAATAAAATAAAGTTGGCAGTTTCGGGGCCAAAACTCCTATAAATGCAAAGGGTCTGAAGACCGAAAAATGTCACTTTGCGGCATAATGAGATGGGGCGATGCCGAAGCCGAAGCCGATGCCCTTTCCCTGGCTGCATAATTAAGCCATGGAGCGAGATCGTGGTAAAAGTTTAAGCACAAAGCTGCTTTGGTTGAGGTTAAGAGACAAAGGAACCGATTTATTAGACCCCCATCTGTCGATGTCATGGTGCAAATGCATTCTTTTGACCTGATATCAAATTCATTTTCAAAATTCAGAGCCAAAAGCGGAGCCTTAAAGTTTAAACACGATGTGGGGACGAAATGTATTACTGAGTTGAGCTTACAATGCCGAAATATTGCGTATACGGCATGTATGCGGCGGCTAAAGTAATTGCCAATCTGTCAACGCAGTGCGGACATCCTGTAGCTCTGACGGATATGGGCACGTGATCATTGCCAGAGTCACGTCATGCAGGAATCGCTAGTAATTCGCGTACCTCGCTCATTGATTGTTCGCTATCCCGCGGCGAGTCCTTGGAAAACGCACATTCTTCGCCTAAAAGCAGGCAACACTCTGTGCATATTTTAGCTGACTGACCGACCGCATCGCATCAGCGAATGTCGGTTGCCATTTTGCACATTCGTCTGCTGGTTCGCCCTTCAGGCAATAATTTCCGCCTCCATTTCCCCTTTCGGGTGGCCGTCACATAATTTATGTGCCTCGGTCCGCTAATTGTGCATTGGGCCGTGGCGCGAACAACTTTTCGCATATGCAGCGAGAACCGACATCAATTTAAATGCATGGACCCCACCCGACCAGACGGTGGAACAAATTGAAATTTATGCGTCGCGTCAGCCAGGTGGGTCGCCGAGGAAGTGGTGATGGTTGGCCTGCCGAAAGCCCCTTCATCATCGACCGCCGCTCTTAATTGCATTCCATGACCTTCTTTCTGCCATTGTCCTCGTCTGCAGTCTTCAGTCTGACAGCCATTGGGCAGTTAGATTAATTAACTCACATGTCGTCGCGGCATGAGGAGCAACATCAGCCGCAGCAGCAGGAAGTGCCTCCAAAAAGGTCACACTCAACGCATGTGGCAATGATTAATTGTCCTGCCGCAAGGTCTCGGTCTGGGGCTGGTCCTGATCCGCTGCAGGCTCAACCTTTGATATTCGAAATGGGTTTGGTTTGTTGCACTTTAAATACCCTTGCAGGCGGTACGAGTATTATGATTTGACCAAATGTTTGTTACGCCCAGAAGAACCCGTTAACAGACTTGTCCTCCTGTTTTCCTGTTTCATATGCAAGCTTGTCTCTCAGCTCGAAAACCATCCGAATGGAACTTCTTTCCGGAATAGGTAAACTATTTTCTCTAATTTGATGTCGAGGCCATTCATATATGGTTCAAAAATGTCTGTACTTTCAATCAGTAGCACAAATACTCGTACTTTCACATTTTACTCAATGCAAGATCACCAAATCAGAGGAAAAATCTATTTTTAAATACAAAAGTATTGAAATTAAATAGAATTCACTTCGATAGAAACAATGAATATGAAAACGTGTAATTTAAATGCGAAATATATTTATTTGAATTTTAAAATATAACTGAAAACATTTTATTTACAATTTCCACTCTTGGACAAAATTTTTGGTATGCATTTTTAAATGTAAATATATACATATATATACATATATTGTAATTTCCCACAGGATTGGAAGGCGAATGGTAGCGATCGGTAACTGCGGCATTCAAGGCTCTCAAATGATAGATACCCGCCATTCGATTCTCTCTTCTTCCTGCTGGTCGCTACTTGCTTTTTGTTTTTGTTGGACTTGTCAGAGCGGCACGCGAGGATTCAGTCGGCTTGGCATCCGAATGTGTAAATGCCAAATATTTGCTCCTGTGCCTGCTCTTGCCCCCTGCCCTGTTCTGGCATTTGCCATTCTAAATGAACAGCAACGGAAAAAAGAGCAAAAAAATTTGGAATTTCAATATGGGAAAACATGCTGGAAAAATTGCAAACATTTTAATTTAATTAAAATATACGGGTCTACTATATGAGCAAGCCCGACAGTTGGTTTTTGCCAGCCTTTTGTGTGTACTCGAATGTGTAACATGCAATTAAAATTAATGGTACACGTAATTGATTTGTATTTTGGCAAAGCGTGTGGGCTGCTCTTTTTTTTGCGTACATCGAAATGCATTTACGCTTAATTCGCTTACGGCTTAAATGCAGAGGACAGGCCATCAGGCCAACAGGCCAAATACGGCTCTATAAGGTAGATAAAGCGCAAAAATATACCCCCCATAAAGAGTGATGAAATCAAAAGCTTGAATGGTGCTTGCTTCTCCTGGAAATACTCGTATAATCCCAATAAAGGTTGAATCACACAGCAGATAAAGCGTGAATACCCTATACTATACTCCATTCTCGCGACTATAGCTAATGCTTAAACAAGCATATCATTGTGCAGTCGAGGGTCCGCTCATACTGGGGGCACTCTGTCGGCGGGTCGACGCTGCTGATGTTGCTTGCCTTGAGGCACCCCGCAAGGCACGAACTTGTCTCCAGCTTGTCCACGGAGGCGGTGACGGAAACCTCTTCCGTCGATGGGGCCACGGAGGCCTCTCCCTTCGAGGTGGGCGCCAGCATCAGCATCAGAATCGCCAGCAATTGCATTAGGATAAACAAAACGGATAATTTCATATTTGTGTATGCCAAAGTTGGTTAAATTTTCATTACTGACTTGCTGACAGCTGGCTCATTGCTATGGGGCTCCGGGGCATTCACTTCCATTTCCATCAGTACCGTGCATACCCGTGCATATGTATTTATGGACACATGGTCATATGTTTGTGCGCTCAGATTTGCCCTAATGACTTCCGAGGAAAGCCAAACACCCAAATGAGGCAGTCTGGGCAGCAGTTTGCTGCTGGCTGTGGATCTGGTTGCACAATTATGAACCGCCTGCTGCCACACAGACCCCTACTTAGCCACCCACACACACTCTCCCACACACGCCACGGGGCGCATTAGTAATGCCCATTGCGGCATCTATTAGAGAACTCCTTGTTTATGTTCACTACGAAAGCCACACTGAGAAAAGCAAACAGCCAGAGGCGGCTGCTGCTGTTGCTGCTGGTAGTCACCGCACCCCCCCGCTCTTAGCTACCCCCCAAAAGAACCCCCCCCACCGTGCTCTGCCCGTGACATTTATTTCGGGGAAATACGAGCATGTGTGTGTGTGTGTGTGGATAAAGAAAAGGCAAGCAGCAGAAATTGTAGAAAATTATGCCCTCGCTTGAGCGGCAGGCGACTCGTTATCCGGGCAAATCCTCACTCAATATGTTGTTCACTCAGGCACGCCCACGCGGTGCCATGCTCAGACATCCTCCCGGCTTTCTTTCCAGCCGAACATTTGACATTTGACCCTCAAAAGGTGCGACAACAAGCGTGCAACATCGTCTGACGATGCCGATGACGATGAGTGTACAATAATTGTGACTGCAGGTGGAATAAAGAGTTAAAAACGGCTTTGATTTGAGACAAAAAATATGGCATCGAACATTCGATCGAGGGCCAACCAAATCCAGGAACCCGCGGGGAGTTCCCAACCAAATTAGTGTTTGTAGCCGAGACTACTTTAGCCCCCTTCACATTAATATACAAATGGAACTTCAAAAGAAAAGGAAATTCAGGACAAATTAAGGCCAAGGCGGGGGGTATGGGCTGTGGGTTGTGGGCTGTGGCAGTCTGAGACAGCCACGCCCATCGACCGTACATATACGAGCACGGAAAATGCGAAATGCGACCGCACTTCAAAACCAGGCAAAGAAAGGCAAGAGTTTGGTTCCATTTTTAATATTTTTTATGTGCTTTCAAACGCTTGTTTTGTGCAGCAGCAATTTCCAAAAAAAAAAAGAAAAATTCAGAAAATTTAAAACACATCAAAGGAAAAGAGATCTTTGAAATGGGAAAAAGATTTTATTCGAATGAGAAGTACTGGTATTAAGTGTGCAAAGGTCACATTTAACAAATGTAATTCATTTGGCTGAAGCCACGCCCACTGCTCACTGCTGAGGGCGTAAATTGTTGCTGTCGGCACGAATTTGGGTCATTGGGGAAGCAGCTTTTAACTGTGTTAGTAGGGCATCTATCCATCCTGCGGCAGGGACCCCCGTGGTGCCACACACGTCACAGCACAGCCTTGTGACGTCACAAACGAACGCACACCAACCCAAGCCGATTCCAAGTCCGAGTCCAAGATAAAACAATTAACTGTATGCAGTATCGTAGCTCTCTCTTCACGACCTGCTCTGCGTTGCTCGGCGTTGCTCTGCTCTGTTCTGCTCGCTCTTTTGCCAGCGAAAGAGCAATGCAGCGCAGCGCAACGCAACGCAACGCAACGGAACACCCATACGCCCTGTTGCACACGGTGTGCATAGTACTCTATGTTGCGCATACGCGCTGATGTGGTGTCTAGTTAGCTTTTGGTTCACTCAACTCTCGTTAATTATTTATTTTTAATTATTTATTCGTTCATTACTCGTCTCGTGTATATAGTTTACATCTGAATTCGTTTCACTTTGCTAAAGTTAATAATTGTTTCGTTTCCATTCGGATTTCCCTTATTGCTTATTCGAATTGTAGACTTGTAGTTTTCGTGGTTGGGTTTATTTGTAGTAATTGATGTTCTTTATGTTTTTTGTTGTGCAATTGTATGTCGCGTTTATTGTTTATTGTTTAATTTGCTAATGTTAATGTTTGTCGTTGCTTAAATTCATTCGGCAATAGAACCAGGGGGTCTCTTTGGGCTTGGGGTGCCTCTATCCATCCATCCATACATGCATCCATCTCGACCCGGGCCCACAAAAATCTATTACGAGTATTACACATAAATACAGTCAGTCTCAATTGGCCTTTAACGAATGACATTCACAATGGCATCGGTGTAAAAACAATTTTTGATGTGCGTCTCCCTTGCATAACTTGATTAAATACAATTAACTACCAACAAAATCTCCAAAGCAGGCAAAAATCAAAATCAACAATTTCCATCCCGGAATCAACGCATTTCGAACGCGACACTCTTCTCTGGGCTTTCTCTTGTACTCGTACGAATATTTATCTAGACCTGTGGTTCTATCTCATTGTAATATATAAAATCTTCTACTTCTTTGGGTTTGATTATTGAATATGCATCTACATTTGCATCTGCATCTGCCCTAATCTGCGGCTTATAGGGTTTTCCATGATTCTTATGCCCACACTGACTCTGATACTGATACTGATAACGATTCTGACTCTGATCTGACTCTGATTGTTAAAAGACTCTTCATAACTAGTGTAGCTTATGTGCCTTGAAGTCTGGCATCTCCTCCTGCATATATGTATGTTTGTATGTATTTATGTCTGTTTAATACTAGTACGTGTATTTCGTCGTTAACTTTCATTTACTCTTAGATCCTATGAAGCTTTCTCTGTGATTTCTAGATTGATTTTGTCTTCGTTTCGTTTCAATTGGCTTGCAGATGCTACAGCGCCTAATTACAAGCTACAAATGTATATTATATGTTAACCCAATGTTGCAGGACTGATGTCTCCATAAGCGCTCCTTAATTTCCTTGATCTCCTCCGCTGATTCTCATGTCCGCTTAGTTCTTAGGCCTAAACCTCGAGCGGCAGACTTGACCTGAGGCCGCCCAGCATGGGCAGTCAGATGTCTCCACCGGCATTCCCGTTCGCATTGGCATTGGCATTGGCATTAGCCTCGTTGGCCGCCGCCTCCACCGAGGAGAGCGAACCGTTGCCCGTGGCCAAGCAGGTGCTGCTGGCCTCGCCCACAGTAATGGTTATCGTCGTGTTCTGATTGTCGCACTGCACCACCTCGATGGTGCGCGTGTTGCTGGCCGATGTGGCCGTCACCTGTCCGCTCTCCGCCTCGTTCAGCTGGCGTCCGATCTCGCGGTCGATGGCCTCGGCATCTTCCGGATAGCGTTCCGAGCAGAAGATGGCTCCGGCCTTGAGCAGCTTCAGCAAATTCAGACGATCCTCGGCATTGCGCTTGGCGCACAGCGGTCTGTCGGAAATAATGACAAAGATTCGACTTGGCTAGAAATCTGAACATATTGTGGGAACAATTTTGTTGTACCGACCTGCCCGCGTCCTTTAGCTGCTCCATAAACTCTTTTCCGGTGATGTCCACCAACGAATTGGGATCCATGTTGGACAACGAGTCCAGATCCGCATCGTTCATCACGGACACGTTGCAGAGATTGTTCTGCAGCTGTCCGACCAGCTGCCGGATGCGTGCCGCCGACTCCGAGTGGTTGGCATCGGTGGTGTCGCCTCCGTCACAGCTTCCACCGACTCCTCCCCCTACTCCTCCTGAAGAGATGTCGCCGTTGCCAGTCACGGTCTCGCTGCCATGCGGCGTCGTTATGGTCACGTAGTGCGTGGGCTGTAACCGGAAAACAAACAAACAAGGCAAGCATATTATTACGCATCTCTTCTTCCGTCACAAAGCTCAATTTGTGGACATTTATCCAATTAGGACACTCACATCGATCCAGTGCTCGCCGGGGAAGACAGCCACCAGCTCCGTGTTCTCGTCGAGCGTGCGAAAGTACTCCTCATCGTCGATTTCGGTGCCATCCGAGTCCAGGTGGATGGTGGGCACGTGGTCACACTTGCCGAACTTCTCCGCCACCTTGTCCCGTATCTCCTCCAGGCTGGCGGCGCACACGGCCTTCTTAATGTTTCGCGTTACGTCCTTGACCTGGCCGCCACGGGGCAGTAAACAAACAGTAAACAGGAGAAGGCCGAAACGAAAGGGAAAATGAAAAGGAAAAGGGAATAATTGCATGTTTTTACAGTTACATATGGCCATAATGAATATTACATTGATGCCAGCAAAAGGAACAGATGTGTCCCGCCATTCGAACAGGCCAATGAAATATTTAAGCGGGTCCAAGAGGCGGGACAGCACCCAAAGCACACAACAGACACAAAAACAGAAAAGACAGGAAACGGAAAACGGGCCCCCTCCACAGATACCGGAAGGAAGCGGGGTAAAAAAATATCTCAACTGTCAAGCCGATTACTAGAAAGTACTTTTCAATCGGCGGCACTTTCAGTTAATTGCTTTTCCCTCACAAAGGAAGGTACTCCCCAGCGAGGGGGGGGGGGGCTGAGGGACCCTTTTTACTCTCCAATTACTCTAGTCTCCGCGGGGAGGACCACTCTCCCTCCTGGTAGAGGCGGGTAGAACAGGAATAAATAAGCATGATATGGCGCAAATGTTAATTGAGACTCGTGGCAGAAAGAGCTGTATAGAAAGAACTTTGACATTCGTCAGCTTAAGCGGAAATTCAGAGCTTAGCTTTAGTTTCGAACGGTATATAGGGGAGGAAGGATGGGGGATGGGGGTTTGTTTGCGTGCTCCTGCTGCTGCGGAGCATCATCTCGAACCCAGTTTGACATGCACTTCTCTCGGGCTGCGGCACAAATATTTACCCGTTTATGCTGCACCTCCTCTTGTGCCTCCTTGGAGCTCTGCAACTACTTTCTTTTTGTGACAAGTTATGCCTGTCAGCAGTTTAGCGTTGCATGCTTCATGCTGTATGCTGTATGCTTAGGCGCTGCTAGAGACGGAGGGAACGGGGGAGACGGCGGGCAAATGCCATGGGCGAGTGCTCGGCGCAAGGACAACATGCCTCCACCAGGCTCCATTAAACTTGCATGCACCTTAAATGGTGCCTCAGCGCTTAGGTTAAAAGGAACATAAATTAGACCTGGCCAACAGATCTGAGGCAGCGTGCATTCCGAAATTTATCGTCCCAAAAACGTTGAGGAGCGTGCAAGACCTCCTCTGAGTCGTTCATAAATGTCAGAGCAATCGCGTTGCCCAATGAAATTTTCTATTTCAGCTAACATTTACCCATTTCCCGGCCATCCGCCATTGCAGCCAACTTTTTCGCATCGCCAGTGTCAAATATTAATCACATCATACTTTGACTGAAAAACTTTGCCACATTGAAAACTTTCCCGAATGCCGCCCCCAAAAGCAGCAGATATGTATTGTATGTCTTTCAAAGATGTGGGGAGCTCTTCTAGAAGCGAAAATATAATTGAGTTGTTTGTTTTGAAATGAAACTTGCGAAAAGTTGAGATTTTCTCTTTCGTGCTACTTAATTAAAATTTTTGGCAGCACAAATGTATTATATGGTATTTGCCGAATTTCCAAATAACTAATGGAAAAAAAGCCACAGAAAAGCAAGCAATTAACGGGGGAATAAATTCCATAGAAATTTGGTAGAATATATCTTTTTTGTTTTAGCCTGACAGGCTTCCAAACAAAGTTGTACGGATTCTGCATGTGGCATTAGCCTGATGGCCCTTCAATCACAACCAGCTCAAACTGCTCAACTATCGGGGGTTCCCCATAGAGGCAGCCCCGTCGCCCACATGTCTGGGACTCTGTGGCACAGCAGAGGCTTCACTTCCCAGTCACCTGCATCATCTTGGACCGGATCCACAAGTCGCCCTTTAAATATTTGATGGGCGTAGGCCGCAGATATTCACGGCCCCGGGGAAATTATGCTTTAGTACAGCCTTAAATTGCTTTCCAACTATGACTTGACATGGAATTATGTAAATTGTTTAATAAATTATTTAAGCCAGGGGGCTGAATAGGCGGTGGGCGTGGCCCTGTGCTAATTACATAGACATGTCGGCGTGAAAAGTTTCCCTTTTTAATGGCATTTTCATGGCTGTCTGGGCATGCGACAGGACTGTTAAGCCGATTTGTGCTTGGCGGTTTTTGAATTAATTATTTTCATAAGCTGCGGAATTTCAATGGATCTGATCTGGCAGGAATGGAAGTGCGGTCAGAAGGAAAGATTCTCTACGTCTCTGCTTCTGACAGCCAGTTGAAATTGCGCTACGGCTTTTGGATTTTTAAAGTTTTCTCTGAGTTGCATGTTGCATATACTGCGTGTGGTTTTTACCGGGAGGAGCGGAGGCAGCGATTGTGCTCTTTAAACAGCAAATAAACAAATTAGTCGGGAACAAAGATCCCAGCCCCCAGACGGGTGGCAAACACAACCAATTGCACAAGCAAAGCCAAGCAAAGGCAAACAAAAACACAGAGGTGGGAATTGGTGTCAAGTTTCTGCCTTTCGAAGAGAGCACATTACTGAGCTTTCGCCTCTCTTTATGCTGGCACAGCTTTTACACTCTCTTCATTGCCTTACAACCAAAAGTTCACCCAGTTTCCATAAAAAAAGGAACAAATAAAACCCAAACGCAGCACGCGGCCAACACAACAACAACAGCGAGGCACAACGCCCAAAAAAGGGCATGGCCAGCTCGGCCAGGCGTCGCTTTGTTTGCCTTCTGGCCTTTGTATGATTATAAAAATATAATGAGCTCCTTCTAAAAACTCACTTTGAATGGCTTTTTCGAGCTCGTTGTTGTTTCCATGGCGTTGGGCATTGTTTCAATTCACTTCTGAGACTTAACTTTATCTAAAACTTTAAATTATGCTCGCTCCAAGCGTATAGTATCTTCTACACAGCATACATCATTCACTATTCCCCGATCTGTTACTAATTGTTACACTGACACACCCGCACTACACTAACAATGTTTGACTTTTGAATTCCTTTAGAAGTTGCACTTGAAGTGAGAATAAGTTCAGTTTTCTTAGCTGAGTTCTTTGTGCGACGTGCAGAGAGCGCCGGTTTCGACTCAGCTTCTGGCAACGCCAGGCGCCTGCTTTTATAGCCCATCCTATAGGGTAGTGCAGGTCTTTTAACTGGAAAAAAGCTAGGAATTAATCCAGTACAAAAGTGGCTTCTGAACGCAGGCTGAAGTGGCGAACTATACAACCTAAAATGCAGCCGTCCCATAGTTTCATTATACATCTATATCATATTGGTGAGGCTTACATGTTTTTACATATATAACTAAATCAAGTGTTTTTGAAAATCGGATACCTACGAGTATATTTTCAATAGGAAGGATGAATCTGCAAGGTTATCAAAGACTATCCTTTCTTTTTTTAGTTTTAAAACAAAATTCTATTAAATTACTAGAAACAAGCTTGCGGAATTCGAATTCTAGCCCCGCAGAATCGGCATCACTGAAAAGTAAAAGAGAGCATATCAATGTAGAGCTTACAAAAGAGCACGAAAATTGAGAGAAAGAGAGAGAGAGAGAGCGAGAGAAGTCCCATGCTTACTATGTTATCAGCAGAGCGCTGTTATCAGGGAAGGATGAAATTTAGCTGGAATTTACTTGATTCAACATTTGTGGGCATTTAATAGGAGTACAAAGCAAAGCTAATCCCCGCACTGATTGCTATCCCACTCAGAAGGTGGATCAAAGGTGTATAGAGACAACCATGGGCCATTTCATCAGTGCCATCATCCATCCCCACCTTTGACCATCCATCGTACCTCACCCAGCAGGACAGTTAAACAGCACTTAACTTTCCGCCCAAGTGGCCAACACCCATTTAAATCTATAATATCTATACACACTCACAGACACACACAAATCGCATCCCCAGACCCCTTGTTGCTGGGGAGCAAACAGCAAACTTTTTGACAAATAGCCAAAAGACCTGAAAGGAAAACCGAAGCGAAGCCGGAAGGTGGCCCCAGATTGAGTTGAGTTGCGCTGGAACCTGAATGGAAGGAATTGTATGGCCTGGTATGGATAGACGGTGGGCTAGGCGATGGGGTGGGGTGCTGGCGGCAGCCTTAAATTGTCATCATTGTGCGCCCCATTGGCTGCTGTTGCTTTTGCTACTGTTGCTGGCAGCTTGCCCCTTGTTGCAGTCCTGTCATTGCACTGCCTCCAACACAGGAACAACAGCAACAACAACAGCATCTGTGGCAGTCACTCTGAGTGGCGGATTGGGGGCCTGGCAGGTGGCTTTGACTATTTCGAGCGCAAGTCACTTGAAATGGACATTGCCTTGTGTGGGTGTTATGTGCCGAGTCACGTGCCCCGGACAGTGCATTGACCACTGGGAGACGTTGACTCGAGCTCCTATCTGGGTTGAGGCTTTCATTCACAGTCAGGTGACACAAAAGAAGGCGAGTAAATCACTGTACAACCAAAGTAAGAAGCCCCTTGGATGCAGCTTCTTTAAACACCCGATATGGGAGGAACGACACCATGAATAGTAGAAAGACAACAAAATCCACATTAATTATCAATTAAACAGGACTAAAAAGGGATAACAGAAGCAATTAAAAGCTGCTAAGCTGATGTTAGCTACCAGCTCTGCTAAGCAAACGGACTCCTTGGTTCCGCTCCTTCGTTGGGGGGTGACAGGACCTTCATGAATATGTAAAACTGTACGCAAATGCGAAAGTAAAGCAACTAAAGTGAACCGCCTGGGGGCAGTCCAGTCCTTGGTGACAGCCATAAACATTTATCAAGCCAGGATTCTAGAGCGAGCAAACACTGCAATTGGTAGATTACAGAAAGGCAAACATTTTATTTTAAAATACGAGGTCCATCCTTTAATAGTCCTCCAGGATCATTTTGGGTACAACATTCATGCTGGTCAGCTCCTGGAAGAGCAGCTTGCAAGCATACGGCATGGATATCTTCGAGACGTGAGCCGACGACTGGCAGAAGTGGCACCAGGAGCAGTAGGCCAGGCGGCCACAGGTGCGACACACATCCACCTCAAAGGCATCGGAGGAAATCATCAGACGCTCCATAATCAGCATGCTGGCGCCGTACGAGATGAGACAGTCGCGCTCCATTTCGCCCAGGCGCAGGCCTCCCTCCCGACTCCTGCCTTGGGTGGGCTGGCGTGTGAGCACGGCCTTGGGACCTCGCGCCCTGGCGTGCATTTTGTCCTGGACCATGTGCTTCAGCTTCTGATAGTAGACCGGGCCGGAGTAGATGTATGCCTGCAGGGGAGCTCCAGTGATGCCCGAGTAGAAGAAGTCCTTGCCCATGTAATTGAAGCCGTGGCGCTCCAACTCCGCCTGAATGTCGCCCACCTTTGAGCCACCAAAGGCCGTGCCGTAGTGGAATTTGCCCTCGAGAACTCCAGCCTTGCCGCCGAGCAGCTCTAGAGTCTTGCCCACTGTCATACGGGAGGGGAAACCGTGGGGATTCATAATCATGTCCGGACAGATGCCAGAATCATTGTAAGGCATGTCCTCCTGGTCCACAATGAGCCCTGTGACACCCTTCTGACCGTGCCGCGAGCTGAACTTGTCCCCAATCTCCGGGATACGCGTCTGGCGCAGAAGGATTTTGATGAGGAAGTCCTCTTCCGAGTTGGCAGAGACCATCACACGCTCCACATAGCTGGGCTCGGGCCCCTTGTAGCTGATGGGCACCGCTGTGTAGGGGACCTGAGTCGATTGGCCCTCCAGTGGATTGAGCGACGTCACCGCCGGCATCTCCTTGTTGATCATAATCTGCTTGTTTAGTATCTGCTCGCCCGGTGCCACAATGCCATCTGTGTCTAGAACATCGTGCTTGAATATCACCTTGTTGGTGAGGGCATCCTTCACGGGACCCATAATCCTGTCAAAGGTCTGGTTGGCATAACGCTTCACCGTGCACTTGGAGTTCTTGTAGACCAGGCAGCGTCCGTACCCGCGATCGATGGAGGCCTTGTTCAGGATCAAGGCATCCTCGATGTCGTAACCCGAAAAGCTCATCACGGCCACAGTGGCGTTCTGTCCGGCCGGCAATTTGTCAAAGTTTGTCAGCTCTATGGTTTTGGTCTTGACCATTGGTGCCTGGGGATAGACCAGGTTGTACATCAGCGAGTCGATGCGGTTCTTTTGATTGTAGCCAATCATGCCCATGGCTTGCTTGCCCATGGCGCATTGATAGGTGTTCCTGGGGCTTTGGTTGTGATGCGGATAGGGGACGAGGCCCGCACACACCCCCAGCAGCGTGAATGGTTCAATTTCCAGGTGTGTGGTGCCCTCCTCTATGTGCTCCTCGTTCCACGCAATAAACGAATCGTTCTCCTCGTTCACATCTAAGTACTCGATGAGTCCATCCAAGAGGAAATCGTCAAACTTTCGCACGCCCCTCTCCAGCTCGTCTAGATGAAATTGTTTGACCCTCGGGCGGCGCTTCTCAACAATTATATAGGGACGGCACAGACGTCCGCCGTCGGTGTGTATATAGATGCACCGCTGGGTGTAGGATGTGTGCACGGACACAAAGCTGCCCATGCGACCCTTTCTGCGCATGTAGCGAAGATTCCGCACCAGATGCTTGTGATTCAGCGTGAGACCGAGGACATTGCCGTTGATGAACACCAAGAAGACATTGGGATTGTTGATGGGATTACCGCTCACTTCCCGTATGTCTTCCACACCGGCGTTGAATGCCAAAATCATCACCGGACGCTCCTCCACCTCCGTCGTGATGTGCGTCATCAGAGCCAGATTCTTGACCAAGCCACAGGCCTCTCCCTCGGGCGTATCCGATGGACAGAGCATGCCCCACTGACTGGGCTGCAACGACCTGGGACCCGATACCTTCCTTGTCTTCTCGAACTGCGAGTTCACTCGCGTCATCATGCCCAGAGCGGAGATATAGCTGAGGCGGGAGAGCACCTGCGTTACGCCAGCTCGCTCCATTTTGAATCGTTTGATGGTCCAGTTGCCCGAACTGATGGCCGACTCCAGGCCGGCGGTAATCTGTGCCGCTCTCATATGCTTCACCACATCGAACTGCGCTGCCTTCACTTTGGGTATGTTCTTGTCCGCGATCATTTTAAGCTCCCAGTTCATGCGCTTGAACAGATCCTCGAACATGAGCGAGATGAGTGAGCCAGCCAATTCCAAACGCTTGTTGCCATAATAGTCCCGATCGTCGAAGAGCGTCTTGTCCAGCTCTGCGGACATCACACGTCGCACCATCATGGAAACGTAGATGGCCTTCATTTGGAAGTTGAAGTTGTCCACTGGAACGTGCGCAAGAATCGTGGTGAGCAGCAGCTCACGTGCCTCTTCTGCGGGTGTCTTTGTGGTGGCGCTTTGGAAGCGCTTTACCACTAATTTGGAGCCTGAAGAGTGTGCAAATTAGACGGCTAGTTTCGAAGTTAACAATAAGCTCTCACCCATGTAGTCCAGAGCCCGCTGCTGTGTAAACACCTTTAAGTTGAAGGCCTCCAGCAAGGAGGCACCAAACCGATTCTGCGACTTTGTGTCTATGCCAATGTGTGCCATAATCTCCTGGTCGGAGACAATGCCCAACGCCTTGAATATGACCACAATTGGTATATCGTCCGTCATTGAGTTGTGCTTTAAGTAGTAGCGTCCGTGCTTGCTCAGCACCAGAGTTCGGGACTTCTTCTCGTGGGTGGAGGACGTCACCTGGCACTGGACTACGCCATTGAAGTCCTCGGTTAGCATTTTGTTCCACGACAACTGCTCCTGGATGAGTATCACCTTCTCCTGACCACGCACCACAAAGTAGCCTCCAGGATCCAGTGGACACTCGTTCAGTTTGGATAATTCAAACTCGGACTTTCCAGTCAGCACGCAATTGGAACACCTTAACATGAGAGGCATCCTGCCGATGAGCAGGTTGTTCCTCTTGATGCGCTGCGTCCCGCGAGTGTACTCAATGTCCACGGTAATGGGGGACGAGTAAGTGGTGTCCCTCAGGCGACACTCATGCGGCGTGGTCGCCTTGGTTATGTTATAGCCATCATCGATGTCGGGCTTGCCCACCCGCACATCCAAGTACTTGAGGTAGAAGAGGGGGTCGGCGCCGCTGGTGACGAGCTCGTTGGCACGCACTATCTTCTTGATGTCCACATTGATGAAGTGGTTGAAGGAATCAATGTGCTGCCTGACGAGGCCCTTCACCTGTAGAAATGCCGGCAGCAATTTCCACTTCTCCTCCAGCGGCTTGATGGGTGTGGCCCATTCCTTGCTGTCGCCTGGGTCCCAGATATTGGCCTCGATATGGGCGTCGCCTTTCTTTACCTCCACCATCAATGCGATTCAGATTAGTTTTATTTCGTAAAAATAAATAACAAAACGGCATGCACGGTTCAAGTGTTGGTAAACGCGATTTGGAACCACATGCGCTTAACAGCCCACCTATCGCACGGAGTTAGCAGAGCCATGTTAAGTTGGCTCGAAAATCAAATGGAAAAAGTCAATAGATTACAGCGTATTCGTTTTTTATTTTCAAATGCAAAACTGCAATCAAACATAATCAAAATGTAACAAACACGAAGCTTTAAACCTTTTTCACAATCTGCACCACATCCTCGTCGTTCAGTACGTGCTCAATTCCCACCTTTTGCGGCTGGTGCTTGACCGAAGAGCCCCAAACGAGCGCACTGAAAATTCAAGAATATTTAAAATCTAAATTCACACAATTATGGTCGATTTACACTCACTATTTGAACTCCTTGACTATGGTGCGATGCAGCTTATTGCAAAAGTCTTCGATGCTGGTCCGCTCGTTGTGCAAAACCACGGGCGAATTGTAGTCTGGCAACTGTCCTTTGGGCTTGGTGTAAATCCGAATCAGCCTCAGATATTCCCACATCAATTCGAGCAAGTCGTCAAAGTTCCAGTGGTGATGCGCCGAAATGGGTACACAATGGGGAATCTTGTATATGACGTCCAATTCTTCAATGGAGATCTGGTCGATCTTGTTCAGCAAATAGATACAGGGTATATAAATGCGATTTCCCTCAATGACATCGATCAGGTCGTCGCTGGTAGCATCGTAACGAAGCGTAATATCAGCATTGTGTATCTTGTATTCCGAGAGAATCGTCTTAACCAGATCCGTGTCCAGCTCCGATTGAGTAACCATTGAATTGAGATTGATGCCGCCCTTGTCCTTCCGTTTGTAGTAAATGTTTGGCGGCTTCTTGTTTAGCCGAATGCCGAAACCTTCCAATTCATGCTCCAACAGCTTTTTATGGCCCAACGGCTTGAGGCAATCCAAGACCATGAAGATTAGATTGCAGGTACGGGCCACAGCAATCACCTGACGACCTCGACCCTTGCCATCCTTGGCTCCCTCGATGATACCGGGCAAATCAAGCAGCTGGATCTTGGCTCCTTTGTACTTGATGCATCCAGGCACCGTCGTCAGGGTTGTGAACTCGTAGGCGGCCACCTCCGAGTACACTCCGGCTAAATTCGATAGCAACGTAGACTTTCCCACTGAAGGAAAGCCGACGAAACCCACTCGTGCATCTCCAGTTTTGGCCACCTCAAAGCCGGCTAAAAGTTTACCAGTTAATTATCTGTTCAAAGGAGGGCGAGTGTCGACATACCTTCTCCAGTGCCACCGCCGCCTCCTTTGGGGGAGATCAGCTCACGACGAAGCTTCGCTAGCTTCGCCTTTAGCAGACCCAAATGCGCCGATGTCGCCTTGTTCTTCTGCGTGCGTGCCATCTGTCCGGTAAAGAAGGTGAAGGGGGGAACGTACCAGACAGGTTAGTTTCTGTGTGCTCTGCTATTGATTGTGGCTTCGCTTACCTCCGACTCGATGGCCGAAATTTTCTCCAGAATCGTACTCATGGCTACGTCTCAGCTAAATTTTATTTTATCAACAAAACTTTATTATCAAATAATTTGAAATTTTTTTTACAAAAATAAAAAACTCGTGGACAGCGGAGCAGTATGACCGACCCTCAGAAATATACCAAAATATACCGTAAATATACTGACGAATTCAAGTTTTCTTATACATATTCCTCGTTTTCTTTCTTCGGTTGAATATTACTAGCTATATAGAACATTTAGCCATGCCCACATAATTTTATCCGATTAATGAATCTATTTTCTACAAGATTGGATAGATTTTAATCCTTGCTTTTATTGGATTTATTGTAAAATAGGGTTAAACAAAATAGTTCAACAAAAAAAGAGTCGCAATGTTGCTGGTATTTGAAGACATGATGCGTGTATAGGCCTTTGTACACCCTATTTCGTTAATTTTATATGTAGATCAAACGCAATTTATTAAGAAATTTTCTCAAATTGATATTCTTTAGACAGATTCAAGTACATTACTAGTATCTTGTATATATTTATCTTGATCCTGATACCTACTGAGCCTTGGAAGACAAACGTATTCACAATTCTATAACATCCATTTCCCCCAGGGTATGTGTGCATGGAGCTAGCAACATTTGTGCATGGAATTAGCAACATCTGTGAATGGAATGGGACTCATTGTTGCAATAGTGAAACTGCGGCGAATCGGGTATTGCCTATATTTCAAGCTATATAGATTTGCCCACTTAGCTTTATCCCATAGATAAATGTATTTTCTACAAGATTGCTTCTTTTAATTACCTTTATGTATTTTATTTTTACCAAAAAACGGTTTTCAAATAAATGTTGCCGCAACTTTTGTGTATGGAATGCGCAACATTTGTGTATGGAATGAGACTCATTGTTGCTAAAGCGAATTGGGGTAAAATGCGGCGAACTGCGGCGAATTGCGGCGAATTCAAATTTTCTCATATTCTTTGTTCCGTTGAATAATACTATCTAAATGAAACATTTAGCCATGCCCACTCATTTTTGTACGATTGATGAATCAATTCTATACATGATTGGCCTATTCGAAATACTTGCAATTATTGGATTTTTATATAACATTGAAAATGAAATTAATAACTGACTAAAATACCATTTAGCACTAAAAAACACCACATGGGAGCGCGGCGAAAACCAGTATTTCTACAGTATGACCCTCAGAACAGCACCGAAATACAAAATATACCGAGTGGTGCGCGCCAAATCTAACTTTTTTGAATGTGAGCGACAAGGATTTAAATGTTGCAACCGGGCCATGTTTTATTGCAGTCGCAATGTTGCTGGTATTTAAAGACATAAGGCTACAAAAGGTTTGAAACATTTATATTCTTAAATCTATTTCTTGTATTTGTTTTTGTTAAGTTCTTTCACATTATGCATAAGAAACTGGCATTTTCATATTTAAATTCATTGTTTAAATCGTTTATTTGTCCCAATATATACTTGTATATGAACCATAAAATATGTTATCGATGTATCGATTAAGATATCTATATTTTTACAGTTATTAAACAAACGTTACGTTGAAAATGTTCACCAAGGGTAAATTTATTAATATTAATGCAGTTCCCAACATAAATATGAAGTTTTTTCTTCTTTAAAAGGAAAACCAAGGACATCGTCGCTTAATAGCCAGGCGAAATTCAAGAGCCAGCTTGAAAGTAATTCGTCGCTGTTGAATCGCAGCTTTCCAACGGCCGCAGAACTTTCTCGCAAAAATGGCAGCCAGCTCCGGCAAACAAAGCTAACTGTCTGTCCAAAAGATAAAAAACTGAAATATGAAGGCTTCGTAGAAGAGGTTCCCAGAATTAGGGCACCGCATGAATTTATTTATATGCCACCACCAAAGCTGCAGCCGAAATCCCTTTGCGCGGCACCCAAAACGACCACCGCACCCATCAAAATGGAGCCCATGGCAATGGCAGAGCCGCCAGCCTCCCCAATGTCCAAGCGGGGTCGTGATTTGCTAAGTCTAGTAGGGCGCGTGGATTTTTGTTTGACCAGCCACAAAATGTATCCTGATTTGAATGCTATTTGGAACGTATATGGTGGGGCTGATTATTATTTAAATGCGTATTGCTATCAGACATTTAATAATTTAACATTTCACAGGGAAACTGGCACGCATTATCGAAGGAAAGAGGTGTGAGCACACCCTACTGGTGCGATGTGAAGGACCCATCCTCCAAGGCATATATTACGATTTTGAAGGCGATCTGAACACATTGACCATTGGCAAGCTCAACAAATTTTTACTACATATTTTTATTTTAATATCTCTGAACTGCATTTAAGGTTGCACTGTCCATCTGGTAGGCCGCTTCGTTGGCCCGAACCGATTGCAGACGTTTAGATTCAACGAGGTGAGTATTTTGGACTGGGAACAGCAATTTATGCGCATAGAAAATGTATCAAGATATATTTTAATGCAAAACAATGCGCATAAGTAGTTTAGACCGTCTTAGACCAGACGGATGCTTTCCGGTATATTTTCATTTTTGACTCTCTAAATTAATGGTACAAATAATATTTGCTAATACTTATAAGCTAGCGTAAAAGTATACTCAAAGGAACTACACTGGCACTATTGGATATAACAAATAAAATACCTACTATTTCCACAGTAGATAAAAAGAAGAAACAAAATTAAATCCAATACTGTTGAATTTATTTGTCTAAATGGAAGATTGAGTGCTTTCAGCCTCTCAAAACATGCCTTTGCAAAGGCAACAAATTATAGTTATGTGTATAATTTATTCACATATTGTAAAATACAAGTATTCTAACGCTTGGCTTTGCACACACGACGATGACGTTTTTTGTGCTGACCCAGGCACTCTACGCTGCAGTAAGAGGCGGTGAAGCAGCAATCAAACGCAGCTTCTTGGAGACAGTGCTGACACCAGCGCTTACGCTTTGCGTCGTCCAACTCCTTTTTCAGCGCGTCCAGTTCTTCAGTCTTTTTCAAGAGGTTCTCGTAGCAATCAGTTAAATCAGACCTCAGCTGTTTAAGATCATTATTTTCCGCCATTGTCATAGATTCGTTCTCTTTTCCCCCTGCAATCCGCGCTGCAAGCGAGCATCGACGTAGTGGCACCTGTCGTGTGGGAACTGGAGCAGGGGTAATTGTAGTTCTGCGCTTCTTACTATTAATCCCTGGAGTGACGGGACGCCCACGCTTGGCAGGTGTAGCAGTGTTTGTAGGCTCCGGGCAGTGGGACAGTGCATTATCGATGAGTTGTTTGGTTACGGCGGGATCTGCGTGAAAGCCAAAGAGGTCAGGTGAGTAGTTTAACAGCATCTTGTGGCATTCGAGTTCCCTCATGGCGGCGGCTAGGGCTTTCGAGATCTTCCCTTTATGCTTGAATAATCCATCGGTCTCTATAGTTATAATATCCTTTTCTAAGACGGAGGCCCGCAAATGGTGTTTGCCGAAGAAGCGCACATCATATTTTATCGGGTTTTTCGATGACACGCTAATCACCTAAAAAGAAAAGGCTGTATTACCTCACCAATTAATCCTTGGATACTACTTACCTTTGCTGGCCAGGGCGGGTAACCACCGTGCTTGGCAAATACCAGCTCATGCCGCTGCAGACAGGGCTTGGCGAACCACATGCTGCACTCCATTTCATTTGAGTTGCGAAAGCAGTCCGGACAACGACGTATTTCCCGAATGTCGTGCGTGACATCGCGCATCAGCCACTGTGTGGCATTGTATGCCTGTTCCGTATGGCCAAAGAAGACGCCTATGTTATGCTGCAAGTCGAGCAAATCAACAAGAAATTCTGTCAAGTACGTATACTTTTTGGTCTCTATGTTTTTTTGAATATCCGCTTGGCCGAGCGTATTCGTCTTGAACAGCACGCGTTTCACCAGCGCTCTATCGCGACTGCTCAAACTTTTCATATCTTTGTCCACATCTGTGCTCAGCCAGCTCTGATGCTTGGACCATGAGTACTGAAGCAAGCAACTGAGCTCTCTCTTGTTTAATTGCGGGGGGTGGTGGATCCTTGCCAGCGTCATCAGTCGACAGGCAGTGCAGTTCTCCCGATTGCTTGACGTATCAGGCTCTAGAAACGGTGGCTGTTCAGTCTTAACCGTGGACTTCCTTCGCTGACGAGCAGCCGGCTGCTCGCTGACAAAGGACACATCATCGTACCAATCCGGACTCTCGCGCTTGACAGATGTCTCCAAAACGGAGTTAAGGTTGATGTTGCTGTTGTGGTCCAGCTGGTGCTCCGTCGACAGCGGTGCCCGAGCCGGCTCCTCTTGACTTTTAGTCTCTACATCAGAGTCCGATTCATTAAGTGGGAATCTATGCGGCTGGCCCTTGTCCGAGGGCACATCGTATGTTGGTCTTTCTGGGTGTTTGCGTTGACAGCACTCGTGGAAAGAGCGTGAACACGATTTGCAGCTCTTTAGTGACCCAGGAAGATTGCACTCGTAGCAATATCTGTCCGCTGAAGAGGTGGGTATTGATTTCCGTTTATGGCAAAAGGACAACATGCTTTTTCCTTGCGCTACAAGAATACCCATGTCTATAGCATCCTCTACTGCCTGGCTTGCCTTGTCTGGGTGAAGATTAATTTAATTAACAGTATAAATGCAGAGTCGAATAGTTTGCCTGCTGCCACTTACCCGAATTCACCGATCCAAGCAAAGAGCGCTCTAATGTCTGTTTGGGCACCGATGCTCCATTCATTAAATGCTGCATCCATATGCGTATGCATACGGGAGGTAGGAGCTGTTTTGTCATCTTTATTTCGCAATCTAAATCGAGTAAATAAATATACTTTGTTGAAGGTTTTGTTTTTGGTGGCAACTTGCTCAATTTCGGGTGCAGCACTATCGATACTATCGATAAGCAAATTGGAAGAAAAATATTTGTTTTGTAGCGTAGGAAACACATCGTATTTACCGTATGGTTAGAGGTAGCAGTTACAAAAAAATATACACATTAATCTGCATTAACGCTATAAAAAGCATGAGACATGAAAAAATTAATAATTTTTCTACATTATATTTTAAAACAAGTCTGGATTTCTGTTTAGAAACATTAACTGGTCTACAACTTTCGGCTTAAAGTGCGTACGACGATCAGGAATATTTTGACCAGCCGGGACGCACAAATAGCTTTAAAAGGCATCATACCGTTTGTATTCGTCTACAAATTAAGTTGTTCATTTTAAAATATTTTAATTTAAATATTAATACTACCTTCCAATACAAGAAGGGACAAAAACATCGATGCATCGATGGTAACATCGATGTTCTTCCACCTCTATTGTTTTGGCAATTTCTTTGTTTACGCAAAATCCCCATGTTAAAATGCCAAAACAATGAATTCTCCGCTTTACACAAACACGAGCAGCTATGTGGAGAGCGCTCGGGTGTATTTGAAGCAGGACGCCACATCCACAATTGTGATAAAGTGCTGCCTTTGCAGTGCCGACGCATTCATCGGGGCCGGGTGGGATGTGTTTATGAATCATTTAAGACGCCGGCACAAGGATGCCAGCAAGCTCGACTGCGATGAGAGTGAAATACATGATGAAATAGAACTAGAGTTGGCAGATGCTGAAGATAATAGCACATCGGAATCTCAGGGTGTAGGCAACGAAGAGGAGCAGAGAGAGGTCTTTACGAACGTTGAGTTTCTGGATGACGATACCTTGGACGACAATGATTTGAGCCGCGAATCAGAGGCAGAAGAGGAAATCGAAAACAGCAAAGATGTAAGTAGACAGGCCAGCTAACCTTTGATTAAAAAATATATTTCAATTCTTGCAGAACTACGTCCTGAACACGCCGCAGAAGCCCTTCTACAACTTGCTTCGTACGAGTCCGGAGATAATGCTCCATTTCATAGATCTTCTGGAACAGCACACACATCTTTGGCAATCCCACATGGGGCTGTTCAGAAAGGAGCGCCTGCAGAGTGCTCAACGGGTTTCGGATGCTATGGCTAAGCGCTTCTGTTTCTCGCTGTTGCCGCAGGTAGTTTGCACGAGCTCCCGATCTCTTAAGGCCTGGTTCGAGCGCCAGTATGCCAGTAACGTTCGTTCCAAGAGCTGGCACTGCCGCTATCCCGCCTACTACGACAGACTAATTCAGTTTATGCCCACAACCCACATAGAAGTAAATGTTTGCGACGAATGCAAGCGGAGCTTCCTCAACGAATACCAACTGGAGGTCCACAAGTACAGAGTACACTGCGGCCAGAATCCCAACGTCTGTAGTGTGTGCAAAAAAGGGTTCCCATGCGCCTCCAAACTGCTGGAGCATCGGGCCCGCTACCACTTTAAGCCTGTGGAGTGGCAGTGCAAGCTGTGCTCGTATAATGCTGGCTCAAAATGGGATTACCAACAGCACCTGAACGTGCACTCCGGCCAGCGGAACTACACATGTGAAATGTGCGGCCAATCGTACAAGAGCACCTCTGCCCTGGCAGTTCATCGGCGAACCCATTCACAGCCACAACTGGCCTGTCCCCACTGTCAGAAGCACTTTCGAGAAAACTGTACCCTCAAAAATCATATAAAGAGAGTTCACAAACGCGAAAATTCTCGAAACTACGCTTGCCGCGTGTGCTGGAGGAGATTTCAAACCGTTGAGGTATTGAGATTGCACGAACGAGTTCATGTAAATGTGCAGCAGAAGGGACTGTCGGAGACAGATGCTGATGACCCGGCTGGCACAGAGATTGACTCATTTTTGGCTCATTAAAGTTATTGAAAGTAAACTTTCACTTGATAAACACAAGCATATTTGAAAATCTGCATTCTAGGGGGGCGCGACTAATAAAGTTATTGTTGTACTCACCGGTATCAACTTATTGCGCACTTATAACAGCTGTAAAGACAGAATAATTCGATGCAGCTGAAACTTAAGGTTTTCCACGATGCTGTCCGACTTTTTATCCTGTATTAAATGCTATTTTTATGCCAAAAATAACCCACGAAACAAGACGGAAAATGAACGTGACACTTGAAATTTTCGAATACAAACTCGATTGCAGTTATCGATACTGATTTGCCATTCACATGCAAAAGAATGCTGATTGCAACCCTGTACAAACCGATGACGTGACGCTGCGAATGGTTTTTATCTGCGTCTAAAATGAGGCTTTGATGCAAAATCGGAGAAAAACAATCAAATATCTGTCGAAAAACTAAAATACTTCTTTCTTGCCAATTCGCAGGCAATGTGCTAAGACCCAATCCACATTCGCGTATTTAAATGTCCGCGCGAAACCGTGTGTGAAATATGGCATCTAACAATAGGTTGAAAACGGGCTCAGGATCATCCCAAATAAACTACAAGTTTACATGTCGCTGCTGTCTGAAATCCGATGCGGAGTTCCTCAAGCTGGACACGCTGGCGGTGGCGCGCAATCTGGATCCAAGTGAATCCGATAAAATACCCCTAATTCGTTGTTTGCTGTTCTGCATACGCACGGAAAATTTGCCGGAGCTTCCGCAATACATATGCGTTGAATGCAGCAAGAGCTTGCAAATAGCCTACTATTTCTTGCAAAATGCACTGCGCGCACACGAAATACTCTGCCGCAAACTGTGTCCGGGCAAGCCGCGTCCTACGCTGGCCCAGCGTTTCAATGGCTCCATCAAACAGCCAGAGGTGTGTTGGTGGTGTGTTTGGTTGTGGTGACGCGTGTTTTATGTGTTTATTTACTGCTTTTAGGTGTCGCTGCGGCAGGCGGTTGAGGACAAGGCGAAGCCACATAAGACATTTCGGCACGAGTGCAAACTCTGCGGCTTTGTCGTCTACAATCGGATGGAGCTAAAGCAGCACATACGTCAGCACGTCGGTACGGGAGTAATCTTCAAACCATGAATATTTCATATAAATTAACCCAATTGTTCTCATCACTTCAGATGGGAGCTCCTACAGCTGCAAAGTCTGTAGCTTCGTAACCCTGAAGCAGCGTCTCCTGCAGGAGCACTACAGTGCGACCCATGGCATGTCTGCCAACCACGCGGACGAACAAGTAAAACCAAAATCATTCTACAATGCCGCTGCATCCACTTCATCCACATCCGCTACGGCTGCCAAAGAGGAGGTTAAAGTGTGCACCCTGGAGGACATGGAGCTGTTGATTCCCACGGTTCTCGCGCCCGGGGATTACATCCAACCGTCCATCGATGAAGAGCAACTGCGTGACATAGAACAGCAATTGGCGGCCAGCATGTCGGAGCCCGTTGTCGGTGTCGACACTTTGACCTCCAACATGTCACAAATAGAGGGAAACAATATGAGCATTGGCACCGAGTATGTCGTGATGCCCGATGGTACCTTGCAGATCAACGGAGGCGGTGCGTGAAATGGTTCCCTCAATTCGTATGGCCAGTGGACTCATTCTCTCTTGTCTTGCAGGCGTGGTCATTGAATACATAGATGATAGCAGGCCACATCACAACGCCACTGGAAATGTAAGCCTGCAAAATCTCCTTGGAGGCGGCAACGAAAACGAGTCCATGGACATCGATGTCAGTGAGCTGATTGTGGAGGATATGGTGCCGCAGATAAAAGGTAATCAAAAGCCTTCCAATCACCAATGAGAATCCCCCTCACCGTTTCTGTTTGTTTCGCTCTTCCAGTCAAGCCAAAACCAATACCCATTGGACCCGCTCCCCTCAAGTACAAATGCAAAGTCTGTCCCAAAGCTTTTGTCACCATGGGGCGTCTAAAATCACACCAGATAAGCCACAGCCGTTAGTATACCGCCTATACCCTACCCCGCCCGACATCCCCCACTGGATCGGACTCGACTAACCCACTGTGCCTTTGTCTTATGCAGATTTGCCCAAGTTCTACTGCGATCAGTGCCCCTTCTACTCGCTGCGCTCTAGCGATCTCTGCCAGCACTACAAGACAAAGCATCTCAAGGACGAACAGAATGGAAAGGTGGCCGGTGATGAGATCTATTCCTGCGACACGTGCCTTTTCGAAGCGAGGACATCCAGCCAGCTGCGGGTGCACATAACTGAAAAGCATAAGACACAACCCTCGGATATAGATCTGCGCCCCACTTGGCAAAGTGGGGCGACCGCCTCCGGTGGCGGCATCAGCTCGGCTCGAACTAGTGGCCAGGGCTCCAAGGAGCAGGGCAGTCAGCCACAACACACCGAAATTCCACTGGGCATTCAATGTGAGTCTTGAGATGGTTACGACCATGACCAGGGAATTTTACTTCGACTTCTATCGGTTATCATTCGACTTTTGAGGTATTGCGGTGCGTTATGAAATGAATCGCGAATGGATGAGTTTCGATAATACTTTTCCGTTTCAGTTTGGCCCAGTTATTATTTTGTTTGCTCTTATCCTTTGTCTGGGATCCCAATCACAATTAAGAAATTTATAAGTTTTCGGGTGTCTTATGAGTTGCTTCCTCTTTCAATTCGATTCATTTTCCTTAATACACCATTGATAAGAAGGGAGCCATATCCAACCCTATAAAGTGTATATATTCTTGATCGGCAACAACAGCTGGCTTGATTGATTCATGTCCGTCTTTCCGTTCCTATAAAAATTAATTTACCAAAACAACAAGTTAAAAACAACTTAAACTGAAATAATATCTGAGCATATAGCTCCGAACGATTGGCCAGTTCCATTATCATTGTTTCCGAAGAAATTCCTCAAACCGTCCTTGCTCCCAACTCCCAAATGTGTTCTCCGACAACCAAAGCTAGCCAGAAGCATCTGCCGAACGTCGAAAAAGAATGCCTGAGAATCCAAAACCAAAATACATATCATGTTCATGACCAGGCACGAGGATGGTCGAATCGAGATTAGGACCGAGACCCATTCCCGCGATTATAAAAACAAAACACATGTCGTGTAAATGACGAGGCACATTAGGATTTTTATTTGTTTACGTCTTTTAAATTAAAGAAGAGGTAGTTTTTTTCCGTGTGTGTTCGAAATTTAATAACGATTTCTCGACAAAGTGCGAGAATCTTCGGTTCCTGAAGCACTCTCAGTCCTGATATTCCCTTAAGTTCCGTGTTTGATTTGTGGTTAATTTGTTTGGTTAATTCATTTGGCGGTTATTTTATGGGCACCACAGATACCGACAGCAAAGAAGAGTCTGTCCAAAGGAAAAAGGAAGGAGAAGAAGGAAAATTGAATGTAAATAATATACAAAATATAGAATGAAATTTGTACATGTATCGCATATATATATACTACATAAATAGTGACCCCCAGGCATAATCTATTAGTAAATTGGATCTCAAATCATAATTGCATTCAGTGTTTTGGCATTCATACACGGGTAGGGCAGGGGGTGATGTGATTGATTCAATTGAGCAAAAACTACTTTTTCACTCACTGATAAGAGCCAAATAATAAACTGATGCAAGTCGAGAGGGACCGTGGTATAAATTTCGGTAAGGACGAGAAAAGATACATAGATCTCTTTCATTTTGCCTTTTTTCTTGTCGTTTCTTTAAGCATTGATCGATTGTAAACTTGTGTTCTTTTTAGTCGTGCCAACACTAACAAAGTTATTTTATATGTGCTATTTTTTTTTAAATCTAACAAGTTATGGTATCTGTTTTAGTTGAATTCCCTGGTTATTTCTTTATTCTTTGTCGGACCCTATTTAATTGAATATCTTACAGATCCGTCTGCAGTGCTGACGGCGGCGACAGTTGAAAATCAGCCATTGCATCAGCAGCAGCAACAGCAGCCGGAGCCACAGCATCAAGAGCAGCAGGATCAGCAGCAACAGCAACAGCAACTTGCAGCGATACCATCCCAAACATCCACGTTAACGCAGTCGGGTGATATCAATGTGGTGATAGATGCCACACCGCTGTTCTTTACGGCGCCAGCGGCAGGGACTGGCACTGTGACTGTGTCTGGGGAAGAATTAGAGGGTCAGGGACAGGGAGCGGGAGATCCGGGTACAATATCCGCTGAAGCAATGGCCAATGGGGACGGCTTGCACATCGGCAACACATATGAAATCTTTCCAGAAATCTCAACGAGCAGTTTGGCAGCGACTCATCCCATACCGGCATTGCCAACGACAACGTCGGCGAACATCTCAATGTTCGGGGATATGCAGGATTTTATAGACAACACAGATGTGGCCGCCATATGCACCATACCCGCCGATGATATGCCAGTGGTGGATGGTGACGATATTGTGATTGATAATAACAATATCAGCTTGGACTTTGATGCTGAGAACCTGTTTGAGGACTTTGAGGATGAGGAAGAGGCCGTTGGCGATGAGGAGGAGGACGAAGACGACGAAGACGCTGAAAATGAGGATGAAAATGAGAACAATGATGCAGCCACCGATCAAAATCTGCTGCTAACAAGCGACGATGACGATGTGGATGACTTTGACGACGAGCAGTCCAAGCATCTGCAAAAACCATACTGCATATTTTGCAACAAAAAGTTTACGAGCCAATACAAGTTCGAGAATCACATGTTTGTGCATCGAGGTGAGTCTGGAGATCCCTTATATAGCCATCTCTATACATACGTATGTATGAATATGCCTGTTATATCCGTATATTTCCTTTTAGGTCTAGCCCCCTACCGCTGTGAGCTCTGCACCAATCTCTACAACATGAAGCGTCTCCTTATCAGGCACTACAAAACCGTACACAGGCGCATGCCCACGCGGGACATGGTTCAGGCGAAGGGCGACAAGGTATTGGTGGCGCGCACCAATATCGAGACACTGCAACTGGATCTGGATAGGAGTAAGCCAAGAATAAGGCTCTTCATACTTCATCAAATCTACAATTTCTTAATGTAATTGCAGAGCCCATGCTGATGTGTGCCAAGTGTCCGTTTGAGTGCGAATTGGATACGGAAATGCGAAAGCATCTGAATGCGCATCACGGCATCAATGATGGTGGTAAGTGTAGCCATAGAAAAAGGCAAAGAGTGCCTTCTCCCTTTCATAAAAAGCCATTTTAAAACTATATTTTGCACACTATTCCTTACAGTATCCGTGCATGCCAACGAGGTGTTTATTATACGCAGTGAGTAGCGTTACGAAATTGATTTATTTATTTTGAAGGGAGATCTATCTGATCAGATCAGTGCATTAGATGTCCTTACCAGTAGGAGTGCCCAGATAGCTATATATTCCTTGTCTATTCCCAGAACTACCCTTTGAGTGTCCGCGATGCATTCGCTCATTTGCGGCCAAGAGCACACTGACCCGCCATCTACAGCGTAGCCATTTGGTGGACACGATAATTGAGATGCAATCCAACCAAACAACCACGAACTCGGCAGCCACAGCCACAAGTACCACGTGCACTGCAACCACCTCATTGCCGGCGAACACGGCTGACGAGCAGCAGCTCGAGACCGATCGGCCGGCCACGTCGGAAACGGAGGCTGTTGGCTATGGCGATGGGGAATGCGGTAAGAGCGACAATAGCCTTGCACGAATGAACTCAAATTCCAATTCCAACTATGCCCAACACATGTCGACGCACAATCCGATTGATAAACTAAATATGCTGTTGTTCGATGGCGAACATGATCTTTGATTGTTGTTGTACTCACCAGAGGTAGCAGTCAAACCTGAAGGCGCAACGACAACAGCAGCCGGAGTTAAAGAAGAGCCAACGACTACTTCAACCGCGTCCGCATCCGCATCCGAAACATCATCCATAATATCAACCATAAAAGCAGATCCACCATCAGAAAGAATTCCGAATCCCCCCGACGAATCGTCAGAGCCACGAGCCATGAACGATATAGATTATGTTCCAGTCAAAGGCGAGACAGCATCAGCAGAAGTAAAAGCATCACCACATACCGCCACAATAGAGTCATCGTCATCCACACCAACGCCATTTGATTTTGACTTTGACTTTATGGGGGATGCAGAAAAATCCAGGCTTACGCCTACGCCCACCACGCCCAGTTCGAGCAACAAAGAAATCGTCAGCACCACAGATCAGTTCCCCTGCACCACCAATCCGAGCACGAGCATTAGCACCAGCATTAGCACCAGCACCAACACCAATGCCTTTGCACCGAGCCTCCTAATCAACGGCAGCGACAAACTGTTGACTGTTGCAATGGAGCCATCGCCCATTAAGGGCCTACGTCCGCGCATCCCTCGCACGCCCACCTACGCGTGCAAGCAGTGCAAAAAAAGCTTTGATGAGCTGGGAAAGCTGGTAAAGCATGAGATGGATACGCATCCCATTGGCGAATCGTCACGCTTGGGCTATAAGCACATATGTGGCACCTGCGGTACAACGTATCGCACAATGGCGCTGCTCAAGTTCCACATGAAGCGGCATTTGACCCGAAAGTTTACGTGCAAGTTGTGTTCAAAGGAGTTTGTACACAAAACTGAACTGGACAGGCACATGCTGGCGAAACATGCCACCGAGAAGTCGTTCCGATGTTCTCTGGATGGCTGTCGCAAGATGTTCGCCTTCAAGCATCATTTGGTGCGGCATCAGAATGCATCCCATCTGAAGTTACGCCACGTGTGCGCCATATGCCAGAAAGAGGTGAAGACCAGCCTGCACCTGAGGCACCACATGACCGTGCACAGAGGCATGACAGCCTACAAGTGTCCCAAATGTGACCGCACATATTTACGTCGCGGAGCGTAAGTACCCTAGAAATAAGTGACTAGTACGTCTCATATCATGCTAAATATTTCCTCTCCTTTACTTAGCCTTCGTGTCCATGCCCTGTCCGTCCATCATGTGCAGCTTACGGAGACAGAGCTGGCCGAAGTCTTTCGCCACAATGTGGGTTATACCAATCCGCACGACATGAAGGTATTCACACGCAATGGGCAATTGGTGCGCCGCAAGGAGCTGGAAGCCGAAAAGGAAAAGGAAATGCAGATGGGTGATGATTCATCCGCTGTAGTGGCGAATATTTCAAAATAATTCTGAATTCTGAATCATGCTCATTAGTAGTCCTGAGAAGTAATGACACCCTGTACAAAGTTTATATAGTTTATAAGTACTGTTTCCATATGCAGTTTTTAACACACACATTTAATGTCTTGAAGTTTTCCCCCTAAGGCTAGACTTAAGCATGATATCATTATCAAAATCGACCTATTACCGACACATATAGTATGTACATATATTACATGCAAATATTTGTACATTGAACAATTGTAGCGATTTGGTTTGAATATATGTATAATAATCTAGTAATGGATTTCCTTTAAGCGGATCTGGGAATGGTGGCCTCGAATTACAGTCGTTCCACACTTAACTGGCAGCCGATGCACTCGAGTGGGACTGCAATGGCAACTCCCCTACCCAAGGAATGGTCTCCAATGGAACCCAATCACGACCAACGCGCTCTGCTTGGCCAAAGAGCTATACAATAGTCTAAGAATATAACACATTTATTTGTATATAAGCTATAGACTCCAAATAGGGATAGAGTAGCGAACGCCGATTCGACACATTTTTGTTTGTAAATTGGATATTTGAAAGCAATAAAACAACCTGTTAGCATAATCTCTCCGTACGCTCGATGTAGAAGTGCCTTCTATCCTTCTTTATTTTTCCATTATCGCATTTCTGATACGATTCAAATATCCCCTTTTATGAAGATCCTATGTTGTGAACACAAACAGATTGTTTAAAACAAGTTTACGTGTATTTACAAATTTAACATAATCACTTTGAGTCAGTTCGGTTTAATTAATAAAGTAAGCAAAATAGTACGCTAACATAGGTAATCGTAGATGCATGAATACTAATGGTATCAGAATAATCAGTTCATTTTGGTTAAGGGATGTGTTCCGTTTTCAAGTTGTTCCTCTTCCAAGTCCACTGGTTCTCCAAGCTGCTTAGCTGTTGATATGATACATAATCGTCTTTGGCAAACTCCTTCAAGCGAGCTATCTGCGTCATTGCCTCGTCAAAGGTTGTTATCGGATTGTGAATAAATTCAGGTGCATCTAATGGGGAAATCACAGTATCCTCCTCATCATCCATTATGGGCTCGGATTTCACCAGGATGGCCTCAAACTGCTGCACGTCCAGTGTTTCGCCTTTTGGGTGGAAGGTTATGTTGTGTCGTTTGCGCCACTTCTGCAGCCAACCGTCTGAGGCCGAGAAGCCAGTGTATCCCAGATGCTGGGCTATTTCTCGCGCCTTTGTCCTTACCTCCTGTCCAGACAAGCGAATGTTCTCGCTTCTGGCCCTGGTGAACCAGCTGAAGCACAAATCATCAATGTGGGAGCCCTGCTGGCTCAGACAGTTCTTCTTCTGATGGCCATTGACTCCTGATTTCAATTTAGTATCGATTTGCCCTTTGTTCTTCAAAATTCCAGCTGCTTGTGTTTTGCCTATATTAAATCTGGAAAAAATAATTTTTTTAGACATGTTGTTTATGCATGTAACAGTCTTAAAAGACTTACCTTCTGGCAAGATCCCGAACGGACAGTTTCTCCTTCTCCTGCACCTGGATAACTTCACTTTTTTCGTTCAAAGAAAGCAATCTACGGGGAGTCCTGCTTCTGCCAGGCGGCATTTTTAGTTGCGTTGCTGCAAAGTCTGCAGCGCCTAAACAAAACTCAGGCAAGTCGCTGATAAATATCCAAATATATTAGGCCTCCCCTCCCTCCCGTTTAAGACCACATAATTTTTATTTTCTTTAGGTTTTAAGCCCTGCCAAGTCAGAGAATCGAAGATGTTGGAGTACTTGATAAGTTGTACATCAATGAAGTCAATTAGTTTGGTACGCGCTGATAAGAAATTTTGTAAATATCATTATACTTTCTTAGAGATGGGAAGTTTTTCCTTGTGTTGTATGGCACAATTAAAAATTAGGCGCTATCGATGTTATTTGAAACTATATGGCCAGTGTGTGCCCATCAAATTTGTCTGCTTAGAAGTCTGTTGTTTCCTTTAGCCAGGCTGACCATTTACGGCATATTTTGACGTCGAAATTAAGTTAACGGCATATTTACTCAATTTCATCATTCATTGGTACTCAGATCCTTGTCACCCATTCACTTTCAAACAATTTCGCTTTGGCGCGCACCACTCGCAAGCTTGATATCGATATGACCATTATGCTCAATAGAGGTGGTAGTACATCGATGTTTGCGAAAAGAACTGCAAAAGAGCGGTACAAAACACATTGTCGGCAGTCAATTTTATTTCCTTCTTAAAACAAACAAACAAGCCTGTAACAAACATTATAAACAACAAACAGCAGCTAGAGAATCAATAGGAAATAGGAGCGACAATGGAAGCCGCAACCGCTGTTGCGGACTCCGCGCTGTCGCCGATTAACAAACGGAACTTGGCAAAGTGTCGAGCGTGTCTATCTGTGAATCGAAAAACCGTGAAGTTGGACGCCAAAATGCCAAATCTGCAAAGGTCGCGAACCTATGGCCAGAGTCTGAGTCAGTGTACCAACCTCGAAATGAGGGCGATCAGCCCCGGCGGCTACCACTGGCCAATGCAGATCTGTGTGCGGTGTTGCCGCGCCCTCGAGGTGGCAACGCACTTTGTGGAAATGGCTCTTGAATCCAATCTCAAGCTGTATGCCGAAGCTAAAACGGTAAAACTGCCCAGTCCCCCCGGAGAGCTTAAGCGGAAGGCTAGCTCCGAAACGCTTCAGTGGAATCAGTTCAGCGAGGAGTTCGACAAGTTTGTGGAGAGCTACGATGGTGTGCCAGGACCAATTGAAGAGAATGTGCTGTATATGAGAGGTGCAAAGATTCCGCGTCTGGATGCGGATGTTAGGGCCAAAAGGACCCCAAAAGAGGATGATGGTACGAATCTTTCTCCCTCTCCTGTCCTGTATTGTATATATTTAATGTTAATTTTGTTCTATTAGTGATTCTGTTTGATGTCAAGTATGACAACAACGATTTGGAAGAGGAGGATGAGAATGACGGCTCAGATGCCAAGAACAATGAGACCTTTTTTGAGAATAGTATTACGACGGGCTCCCCATTGCCACCAGGCAATCCTCAGGCAATCAAATCAGTGGGCAGCCAAAGTGGCGAGAATAATAATAATTACAAATTTAATTTCAACAACAACAAAAACGGTGACATGTCCAGTTTCCCCGATGTCGAGCGCGATCTTATACAACGCGCTCTGTACATGACACTGAACGATGATGACAGCAACACGAATAACACGGCGCAGAAAGAGCAGGCCATTGAGTCCATCAAAAACATACTGCTAAATGGTAAACCGAGTAATTAAGTTTTGGAATGTATTAACCATGGACTCCTCCTTTGTTTTGTAGAGAGTGAGAGTATTGGATCCCTGCAAGGCTCCTCTACGAGTGGTGTAGCAATCAGGAAAGATAGCCCCGACATACCCATGCTGAACTGCCACATTTGCGAGTATGCGAACACCGAGGCGAAACAGATCAGGAGTCATTATATTGGCATTCACAAGATGGATATGGCCGAAGATGATATCATTGGATTGACCAAAAGTGCGTATCCAGTAAATTGTATATCTAAGAAGAACTATAATTCTCGACTTCGTTCTAGATCAAAGCTTCAAGTGTCGCCCTTGCAATAGTTATGATACGAAGAACCGACAGGAAATGCAAAAACATCTTATTCATCATCATAAAATTGATGGGGATTTTGGTAAGCAGAAGACAAAAATTCCTTATGATGCCTCCATCCTATTCTGTATGTTGTCTGCATTACGATTTGCAGAAATGTACTGCTATGTGCAGCAGAACTGCCCAGCTTGTCCGCGGGTCTTCAAAGATCAGAGATCAGCCAGAACTCATTATACAAGGATGCATACTCAAGCGGCCCGAGAACCACCCGAAGCGCACACATGCGGGGCATGCGGTAAAGTTTTCAACCAAAAGGCCAGCCTGCAGGCCCACCAACGATTCTGCCAGGTGAAGGACCCCGTCCAGTGCACCTTCTGCGAGCTGAAGTTCAGTAGCCTGCGCAAGTACGAGATCCATTTGCAACAGCTACATTCAGTGGACACACTGCATGCATGCGAAATCTGTCACAAGAATTTCAAGAGTGCAGACTTCCTGGCCGTACACCGTAAGAGGCACTCCGAGCGCCATTACCAGTGCGACAAGTGCTCCCTAAACTACATCAACGCGGCCGAGCTGCGAGTGCATTACGAGCGCGCCCATGTAAACGACGAGCAAGTTAGCTGCCTCATATGCGGGAGTCAGTTCCAAAACTTTGCTTTGATGCGGGAGCATGAGAACAGGAGTCACCAGAAACAGGTTTGGCGCTGCGATAAGTGCAACTTTGAGGCCTCATCGCGGGCTCGCATGCGTCAGCATCAATTTGAGCACACCGCCTATCCTTACAAATGCAGACACTGCCCCGAGGAGTTTGCCGATCGCAAAAAGTACGTATGGGAGCTCGAAATTGCGGACAGTTGGCCACTATAAAAGTAATTGAATATTGATTCTCTGACTATTTAGAATCCGACTACATTCCAAAAAGGTGCACTGCATCGAGCTGAGCGATGAGCAGCTGGCCGAGATGTTTCGCGAGAGGACTGGCTATACAAATCGGCACGATGCCTTTAACAAGAATAATACCTCACTTGAAATTCCAGGATTTAGCGAAGATTGCTTTAGTGAGCTGAAAAGCCTGGGGGTCGACTACGACGATATCACATCAGATCTCTTCTCGAATTCCACCACTCTGGACGAACTGCTCGATTTGATTCCCTGAACTGAGGACCGATCCGATCCATTTACCTGCATAGAAGTTAAGAGATCATGAAACATTACAAAAAAAGAATAGCTAACGAGAGCTAGAAGACTGTACCCAATTTACACCACACCAACAATCGACCGACAAACTTCCATTACTTTGTTGCTTTCATAAATTATTTTGCTCAGAGAACTCAGACCGAACCGAAGCGAACCTGCTGGTGGTATTTACATTCACGTGTATTTCACTGCAGGTACATAGAAACGAAACCATGATATTTCTGAAGTTACCAATCTCAATAAACCGTTATAAAAGTGCTTCTGAAGCGCCCCCAGATCTTTTGTTACTTGTTCACTCCAGACTCGGAATATATTTAAGCTACTTTAATTTGAAAATCTAATTAACGCCCTGGACGAATTTTGAGAGGAAATCCGTGGGCTTGGGCTCCTGCGACTCCTTCCAGTAGCGCATAATATGGCCTTTTTGTTTCCAGATCTCCACCGTCTCTTTCAGCTCCATTTGCCCCTGTAAAAAGGATGTCGATTAGATACTGAATGATCTTGTCCCAGCGTATACGCACCTTGATGACGAGCATGTCTATCACGCGTATGTCGGTTACATGACGGTCCTTGACAAATTGCTCGCGCAACTTGGAGCGGCACTGCTCCACAGTCATAGGAATATCGTAGTCCATTACTGGAAGGGCATCGAATTGTTTATATAGTGTCGGGACACTGAAAGATGACATAACCAAGAGCACTCACCGATATAGGGAATCTGGCGGTACCAGGCCTTGTAAAGGTTCAGGGCACGCTTGCGTGCCTCCTCCCTGTCGACGGACAGAATGGGACGCACCTGCTGTACGGCCCGTTTAATGGCTTCACGTCCGGCCATGGTTTTTCGGTTTTTTGCGCAAAATTATTTTTACCGAAGTAATTAGTGATGTAATTTTTGCCGATGTTTACCGATGTTTTCCGATGTTTTTGCTGCTACCGATGTTGAGTGATGTATTTTGCAAAACATCGATCGATTAGTTTCAAATTTGTAAGCAGCAAACACAGCAATGCCTGCCTCATTTGAAAGCAATCCTTCGTGTTTTTGGGACGGTGTGAAAAGTACCTATCCTAATTTATACAAAATTGCAATGCAATTTTTACGTTAATGGCATCTTCTGCGTGTATTTTGAACGGGTGTACTCAGCGGCTGCTAACATATTAAGTCGAAAACGTAATAGACTTTCACCTGTGCGACTAAGCCGCATTTTGGTTTTTGCAAAGCATTGACAAATAGTACTTATTTGAAATATTAGTTATCTCTGATGATATCTACAGTGATATGTAAAAGACTGCTATGAAAGCATAATCATTTCTTTTATGTTAAATATTGTTTCGTTTAGTCCTATGATATGTAAAACTCTGCTATGAAAGCTCAAGTTTAATTTTTCCTTTGTTGAATATTCGGTTTTATAATCAAATGGGAAAGTTTTGAAACATCGGTCATACATCGATGCATCGAAGAAAAATCCGATATATCAATCCAACATCTATGTTTGATTTTGACAACATCGAAGGACATCGACATCGATGTTTTCATTCAAATTTACATCACTAGAAGTAATTAGTGTGATTTTCAGTGTGACCGACCCTCAGAAATATACCAAAACATACCGTCTAATTTTCAAAATATACCGTAAATATACTGATGAATTCAAGTTTTCTTATACATATTCCTCGTTTTTGATATTCCATCGAATATTACTAACTATATAGAACATTTAGCCATGCCCACATAATTTTATCCGATTAATGAATCTATTTTCTACAAGATTGGATAGATTTTAATCCTTGCTTTTATTTAACATTAAAATTGTGAGGCCTCGTAGGCATGAGTGCGCCTGCTGGTAGATCTTGCGTATTTGCGGTCCGTCGTAGCGCTATACTATATTTAACACACTATATTTTGAAAATATATACATATCTCTCTGTATAAATTGTTGGTGGTCCTAAACAGGAGCGATTTGCAAGGATAGTGCCTATCCGGGCTTGACTCCATCCGGATTGGGAGTATCCATCTTGGAGACTGTACACACACACAGCTTTTAGCACTTTTGTTTTGCTCTTACTTCGCATATTCGTACTCTTCTTACGATCTTGTCCGTTGACGCACACATACAATTAAATTGAAACATAGCGAAAGATATTGCCAGATAGATGCTTTCAATTTGCGTTCAACTTCGTGCTGTCTATAGTTATTCCATTAAAATGTAGAATAATATAAATTATTATTATTGTTGCGTAGCACCAGGGTGAAATTAGTGCTCAGCGTTCCCAGTGCCCAGAGGAGGATATGCGAAAAGAATGATGAAGTTATGGACTGAAATTGTTGAAGCAGAGGAGCAGCAGTACAAAGTACATATGTAAACGCCCAGTGCGATGGGAGCTGCGCGCAAAAGCTAGAATGAGATGCCATTAAAATCAATGAGCTGCAGATGAGGCTGGACGCTATCAGAGCGATACTCTCCAACCTGATGGAGGCCAGAAGCGGTGGAACGGAAGGCGTGCCGTCAGCATCAGCAGCTGCAGCAGAACACACGCCACTACCACAATCAGCAGCCGCCATTACACCCGAAATTGTGGCACCCGCGTCTGTGGCAGTGACGGACAATGGTAGGAAGAGGAGGAGGAGAGGTAGCCAGCAACAACAGCAGCATCCAATAATACCACAGCCAATACCAGCTTCCGAAGATGACGATGGCCAATGGACGGACTGCAGTCCAGTCGAGGACCACTACTGGATGGAGGAGGCCAGCAGCCTGTGCGAGAGCGACTGCCCGCACGGCGCCTACTAAATCCACGCTCAACCTAGACGAAGCAGCCAAACGCACAATAAACACTCTCAACTGCCACTAAAAAAAAAAAGAAAGCAAAAATCATCTGACCGGGTCGAGAAAGGTTCTAAAATTCTCTCAGCTCTCAAACTAAAACAACAAAACTCCAAAATGTTGAGGCGTGATAGATCTAAAGAAATCGTCGCTGATGAAGATGACAGCGTGACTATGGGTAGGTGGACGGCTCCATCTGACCACGTCGAGCAAAGTTCTAAAATTCTCTCAGCTGTTTGAAAAAAACTAAAACAACAAAATTCCAAAATGTCGAGGCGTGATAGATCTAAAGAAATCGTCGCTGGTGAAGATGACAGCGTGCAGAAACCCTAGCCAATCCAGCGTCAGTGTGGTGCTGACTTCGTCCGTCCAGAGTCCGGCCGTTCAGAGAACGCTCCCCGTGACCAGTTCACAGCTGGGAAGCATTGTGCAGAAGCTGACCAACCATACTGCTGCCGTGTGATGATAATGCCACTTTTCAGCACAGTTTTTTAAATTTGCATTAATAGATCATAACATCAAATTCGAAAATGCAGCGTTGTTTGCCGCATGGAATGCAAGGAAAATGCGGTACTCAAATTTTTGAAATTAATACAGCCCGTGATGATACCAGCAAGAAAATTTGTTATCGTTTGACAACAAAATGAAAAAAATGTAGGTCACATATTTAAAAAAAAAGTCGCAGAGCACGAAAAAGGCAGGCTGCCGATCTTGTTGTTTCAGAGGGAAGAAATATTAATTTGTTGATTTACCCGGCAATCATGGCCGCACGAAAGCGAGGCAAATACGACCTCGCTTTTGTTCTAAAACTTCTATCTTTATGCCCAGAGAAGGCCAAATTAGTTCACAAGGCTGTACAGGACGAAATTTTTGTACCGCCGCTGTCCTGTATGTATGGAAACATATGAAAAAGAAATCAGTAAAAAAAAATGTCAAACTTGTATCGCGCCCTAGAAAAATATGTCAAAATCTCTGTAGAAGGTATATCCCTAACGGAACTCAATAGCATAGCCTTTGAAGAAAAGGGAAAACACATTGGGGAAATTATTCATAGTGTAATTGAGGTATCTTTAAGGGAGAAAGTGCAGGAAAATCCTTTATTTTATGTAACCAAATTAGAAATGGACGACAAAGAAAAATGAATGATTAAGATGTTAGTAAAAATTTCGTAGTAGTTAGCGCATAATAATAATAATAATTAGCTATAAATATATATGTATGTATGTTCCGTCTTTAATTATGTTATATATAATATCTATTGTAACGACGGTACAGCCGAAAAGAGTCCCTTGGTCCAAGAATAAGGCGTGGATCAAGCGGCACCAAGAAATATGGTTGTTTTATTGTTGTTAAAAGGTATAGAGCTTGGTAGGTGCTCGGATCTTCCTTCGGGGTGGTCGCACGTGGCGGATAGCTGCGTGCTGGTTTAGATGATGGTCCGGTCGGTGCTGGAACTGAAGTTATTGACTGTCGCTGGCCTGAGCCGAACTGATGCAGTGCTGCCTGATTTTGAGTGTCACCATAAGCTAGATTGAAGAAAAAATAAGCTAGAATAAGCTAAATACAACAAAAAGCTTAAAAATAAGCTAACAATAAAAACACATCCAAATAATGTATATGTAATAATGTTCAATCGTAAAATCGTTTGCTATTCCGAGGATGGGTGAAATCCATGATAAATGGATTAAAAACCTAAACATATCAAAATACAACACACGCTTCCGAGTATGCGCGAAGCATTTCCAGAAGGAGTGTATTTTGAACGGGAGGCTTCGAACAGGAAGTCTTCCAACCGAAAATTTGGGTAAGTTAGTAAAATAAGTTAGTTTCTAGTCAGTTTTATTAGTCTGTCGGTCTGTCGAACCTACACAAATGTTTAATGTAGCCATACTGACTAGTTATCGGGTATAAATGTAGAGTTGCGGCCGCAGCAGCAACTCACAACGTTCCACCCGCTATTGTACTTCATTCAAACAAATTAAAATGATATTAATTACTTTTATTTACATTTTTGTTAATTTAGGACATAAGCCATTGTTTCAGAGCTCGCTCAGCAATTGGCAAAAAAAAGACATTGTTTCAATAGAATATATTGAAAACAAAACTGCCGATCTATCAATAGATAATATTGATATCAATTACAATGAAGATACATATTCTTCTCAAGAATCCGGCTATGAATTTCTGGAAAAGAAATGTAAAGCCCTAAATGAGGAAAATATTTCCCTAAAAGAGGAAATTACAAATTTGCATGAAAAATTTCACGCATTCACTGTCCAAGGTGAAGATAGTACAAATTATTTACAAAAAATAAATGATTAAGGGAAAGAAATTTCTCAACTTAAATCAATGTGCACGAACAGGACTCATGAAGAAAAACAATGTTTTTCGCCGCCGCTCCAAGTATTTGAGCCTGGCTTTCAAGGCGAACATATTAAAAAGTTGAAGAAACTTGTACATAAAATGGATGAGAGTCACAGAAATTGTTCACCAATTTTTGATGAAATGTTCATCTAACCAGAAATATGCTATCTTGCCAATGTTGACCGAGCAATTGGTTACGTAGACCTGGGAGACGGAATTTCCGATAAGGAACAATACTCCCCCCAAGCCACTGGAATGTTGACATTCCTTGTTAGAGGGCTGGTAAGTGATTACAGCTATTTTGTTGACTCAATATTTGTTAACAAAAATGTAACTCACAAATACGCCCAAGCCATTGGTCAGGCGGGTAAGTGTTGCACTGCAGCCGGCTTAAATGTCCGCGCTATAGTCTGCGATCAGGCAGCAGTAAACACGGCGGGTCTTGAAAAAATAGACCGTGAAAGATTGATCAATCCGCCAGTGCCTCAGTTCGTGTGCGTTTACGTACATTTACTCAAGAGTGTTAGAAATAACTTCTTGAACACAACAACACAACTACACCAGTCGGAAAAGCGACATGGAAAGTGATCGAAAAGTTTTATGAAGTCGATTCATTAAACTCTTTTTCGCTTGGCACCCAAGATTACGGAAAAGCACATCAATCCGCAAGGATATGATAGAATGAATA